GTTTGGTTTATCTTCATCCAGACTGCCGTGAGAAACAAGGCTGCACCTTTCTATGTGCGCTTCCACTCATCGCAGGCAGGTTCGGGCGGAAGTTCATCATCCACATAACAACTTGTACCAATGTGATGTGAGCTCCTGGGAGAACTTGAATCATCTTGAAGAGTTTCCGTAAACCGCTTCCCTCCCAAGCCGTTCAGTAGAAACGATGGCCATTGAGGCCATTCTGATCTCCATGTTGTTGGGTGTGCCTCAGCAGGTGGAGATTGCTGGGATGAAACGGTGGAGATGCCATCGTTCACAACCGCACTCTTGGTAACATATACATACTATAAACAGACTATAATATAATATAATATAATATATATATACATATACACACTATGATTGTATTTATATAGGTTTATGTGGACATATATGTGCATAGTGTGTGTTTTTGTATAGATGTACTTGCATGTGCTATCAGGTACTCTAAGGGCCGTAATAATCACAATTTCTCGCCAAGTTGGTATCAGGATACAAGAACTTGAAGGTACCAAGAGCATGCAACGATATCTGAAAAACCATTGCCAAAAAAAAGGAATGACAAGCACTACAATGGGGGAGATGATTAACCAGTTGGTAGAAATGGTTGAGTTTACCACGTTACACAGATCTGCACATGTCAACCTGCCGAAGCTGCCCTTCTGCCAGGTCTTTTTTGCCGTGCTGAACCCTTGGGAGTCGGGACTTTGGGTGCAAACCTTCATGTGCCCCTGATGGCCTCAGATCTCGCAACCCTGAAACATCCTGAAACCCTAAATCCTGACACCTAAATTTTTCAAATCGCTGCGTATAGCTCGTGTTTTCGTTCATCCTCAGGTGACAAGTATACATACATGATATGATATTGGATGTGTTGTTTGGGCATGGGCGAACATAGGCTTTGGCGCCATGTTGGGACATGTTCCCCCTACATGTCATTCTCGGGGCTTCAAGCCATGGCCTTCCCATGGATCCAGAGGATTCCCACAGGTACCACAGTATGGTCTCGATCTTCCTCTTCATTATGGGCCTCCTGATCTGGTGTTGTCTCGCTCTAAGATCTCTAAGAAACACTTGCTGCGAACCGAACGTTTTGTGGGCCATGGTTTCAAAATTAGGGAATGATGGGGATAGAGAAGACAAAGGCCAGTGGTTGGGAAGAAGGGTTGATTCTACAGAACAGGACCAACTTGAATCTTACATCTCGGAAGTTGTGACATCAGAGATAGACTCAATGCAAGTGGCGACGAAGTCTCGGAGGTCTCAATGCGCTCATGAAGCGGCAAATGACGATGCCGCTGGTATCGGAGGCGCTCGTGTCTTTTGCCAGCTCTATCTTTCTCCAGCGCTGTCATTCAAACTGCAAGTCGTCAGATGCGTGTCTGTTAGGTGGTGTGGATTATAACATATCAAGAGACGCAAACAATCCGTTCAGATTTTCTCTGAAATTGATCTACAGATCATACAGACCCGCATCATCGAATCGATCCAGTCCTTGCATGATTGTGCTAGGCAGCTGTGATGTGGGCCGGCAAAGAGTGAGGTCAGCAGGTGCCTCAGAGTCCAGCATAAAGGAACCAACGTATTTCGGCGGGTGCACCTCAGTTTTTGTTCAAACGGAGTTGATGGTTGGTGATCTTTCAATCCATAGAAATTTCATAATTTTCATGCCACTTGTAAGATTTGTATGATTTTGTATGATTTTGTATGATTTTGTATGTGCTTGTTCAAAGTGTTCAAAGCAAACTAGAGCAAAACATGCCTTGCCACTCAGCAAGGGCTTTCCAGTCCGGCTTTGAGGCAGCTATTGACTCAGACCAGGACTTGAGACCGAAGCCAGCAGATTGTGACGTTGTGACGCTCATATGGAGATGGCAGAAGTTTTTGGATGTTTTTGGTGCGTTGTTTTTTTATTTCCGTACTTTGACTTATGGCAACATTTTTTCAGTTTTTTTTTGGTATTTGCATGAATGCTAGTATCACCCATTGGGTTCCAAGTCCCAAGAGCTACATGTTACAGCTGTGGCTTCGCTTGCGAGCTGTTTTCAGCCGGTGACTTTGGAGTGCGAACTCCGTGACAGACAAAATGGTTGGAACAGGTAGAACCATGTAGAACCTGTTTGACACATTGCAACTTGATGTCATCCAGATGATGAACTTGATCCCCATGGATCCGTGAGTTTTATTAGAGCATGTTTCAAGGAAGTTTAGACAGAGCAATGTAGGATTTCCATGGAATGTGCGCAGGTGCGAGAGCATATAAGGTGCAGCTATCCCAGTTATCCCCTGCAAATAGATGCAAATAGCGCATACCAAGACACTTTCCCTTCTGCTTTCTGTTCAGCAAGAAGGTTCAGCCAGAAGGTCGGATGTTTTTGTGGCGAAAAAAAGGAGCAGCGCGGTGTGAGGGCAAAAGCACCAGTGTCACTGTAAGGAACGAGGAAGGGCGAACTTTGAGCTCACAGATGCTCGCACTCGGATATAGAGCAGATGCCAAAACTCGAGTGAAGGGATTTGGGATGATTCAGGGAGTGAATAATTGAGTGAACCAATTAAAGAAGACAGAAAGGAACACAAACACACCGAATGTGCAAAGGAAAGAGCAAGTTGAAATCTGCGCTCAAGTTAGATACTGGACCCTACAACCAGTGATAGCAGTTTGCGTTTCAGATATGTTCTTCCCACTTGTCGTAGTTTTGAATCCAGATGTATAAACACCCACTACACAGATGTCGTTGCCGCTCAAGCGGGATGAAACAACCGCGTGCAGATGTTTGCCATCCTTATTGTTGACCATTCCGATCTCATGAAGAATTCCAATCTCCTCAAACATCCCAAGATGATCTATAACATTCCATAGCAATTTGGTGGCTGCCCCAGCTTATTGACCCAGATTTCCACTTCTCTTTGGCAAACCTTGGCGCTGCTGTTGCTATGCCAGCGATTGAAACGCCGACGCCATGCTGTCACCGGCTGTGAACGGTGAATGGATGAAGTCGAGGAGGCGACGGAGGTTTCTTGGGATGACAACATTGGAATTCTGAAGGTTGATGGTACAGGTAATAGGTAAATACATGTACATGTAGGAAAATGGAGCAATATAGCAATATGAATGGTATATCAATGTATATCATATCATCAATACGTTGGCTGGTACCAAACATCGCTTATTTTAGATGGTTGACCCTACTTGGGATGATCCCCAATATGGGTTAAGACCACCCAGCAGTTTTCAGTTTTAGTGAAGGTTCCCACCAGATCCAGCAAAGAAGGTCTAGGTAAAAAGTCCTGGAGGCTGCTTAGTCAAAGTGTTTTTGTACAGTGGATTCTGTAGCTATAGAATGATGTTGTATGTGCATAATATATATATATATATGTATATATATATATACATATACTATTTGATGCACATGGCACTTGATGCGTTCACCATGCATCAGTGAAGCTATTGCCATGACACATCCAAGGCTCTTTTGGCCTGGGGCCAGCAGGCTTTAGCTGCTAAGCCTGGTGCCAGCGAGGCCAGCGAGGCCAGCGAGCTGAAGATACTCCATCAGGACAGAAACCGGCTGCTCAGCAGACCTTAAGCCTTCAGCAGACCAAAGCACAGGCTTGGTATATGATGTATATGTCCCAGTTTGGGGATTCCAGTCATCCTTCTTGTGATGGTTGTTGAACAATTCATATCGTAAATTATATTAAATTATATCCCCAATGCTTACTGTGATGTGCCTACATCGCTTGCAGTCGTTGGTGCCGAGATTCCCTTTTCAAACCGCTGATCCATCATAATCATCATAGTTCCATAGATCCATAGACCCATTATATAATCATAATGGATCCATGATCTACTGTATTTGTATCTATATATATATATATCTATATATATATATTTATTATACATATACACACATATGTATATATATATATATACACCTCTCTCTATATATAAATATTTATTTATTATACATATACATATATATATATACACAGTAAATACATCATTTTGCTGTATTTTTGGTGGCTTTAGATCCAACTACAAAGAATCAGCCATGATCCAGGAGGTCGAGGAGCTTGAGGCGCAAGTGGCCCTCTTTGGGGAACGCCAAGTGCGGGAGTGTCGCCTCAGTGCCAAGTGCGAGGCGCATGTCGTTGAAGCGCAGATGGAGGCGCGGTGGATTCGGTGGATGTACCAATTGGGGCCTGAGAAAGTTGGTGCACTACTCATTGAATGGAATATGAATGGGATTTTAATGATGGTTCCTGGGTCAACATGATGAAACACCAAAGTTGGCCACTAAAACCTGGGCTGGCTCTAGGTAAACTGATAGTGAGTCACTGTCATGTCCAACCCAGGCCACTGTTTGATTGAATTGAGTGGAGTTTTGATTGTGCAGCATCTCTTGTGGAAAGCGTATTCTTTCTTGCGTAGAGGTGAAGCAATGGGCAACAGGTAAGACGAACTGATTGCAAAAGCAGCTAAACCCCTCTTGAATGCTGAGAGGCAGAAGTGCAGCAAGAGCGAGAGGATACCACCGATGATTTGTTTGCAGACTTCTGCCAAGATTTGTTGTCAATGATGTTATACTGTACATTGAGCCAAGTTGGATTTCACACATTGCTGAGAAAGATGAAATCTGAAGTTTTTTCCTCTCAACAGGCATTTTGCACATGCTATGGTCGAGGAGGCTATAGTTGGAGGAAAGAGGAAATGTGTTCAGTTTTGCAGCGACAGCATCCCTTGCATTGCCTGGGATCCAACCGGCGGCTGCAAGACATAGCATGCTGCATGAGCAGTCTTCAAAACTCCAAACATAATCATCATCTTGCGGGTGTTCTATGCAAATTCAAGTAAACAGGAGATTGATCACCACAATATACATCAGTATACGAGATCTCCATTGATCAACTGATCCACCATTGTTTGGGGGACTTTGGCCAATGCCATCATCAAGAACCCTCGCAGCTGTAAACTATCCCAGAATTGAATGAAGGCACTTTTCTTACTAACAGGCTAACAGGCAGCTCTTACATTTGATGATCAAACCATGGATGTCCTGCTTAAAAATCCCTAAAATCAATCCATTGCATATCGCGTACCAGGAGCTTCGACGGATGGAAGACCAGGTGGCCCAGTCTGAACAGGCTTTGCGACGCTGCGACCGTCGGAGGACGGAAACCGCGAAGTTCCTGAAACGAGCTCCGGAGCTCCCAGATGCAAAGACCCATCTGGAGGAGGAAAAGCTGCAGGAAAGCGAACAGCAACTGGGACTTGGACAAGTCTAAGGTTTGGATGCCTTGAAATTCAGTTTTTAGAGGTTGAAAGTGGATTGCCAATAGCTGGCTTTGAAAAGGCCTAATTTCCAAAAACCAAAGGCAAAATATATCAAAATATGATTCAACACTCCTAGACTTGATTTGAGGGACAACCCACAGAAACTCTCCATGGGAAAAGGTCCTTCCTGTTGCTGTCTTGCTTGTGTTTTTTGTGACATGTGAGGCCAGGAACAATACGGAGAAGATTAGCATGACTCAAGAATGGAACGCATGGAGAGAGCACAAATCGAGAAGTGTGAAAGATGGAAAGCGACACGCACAAATCAGAAGTGTACTTTTGCGGGCCTTCATGGCTCAAGTCTGAAAAAGGAGTGAGTGTCACGTGCATGCTGTGAGGGTTGATGGAACATGAACAGGGTCCTCATCAATTAACAGGTTATGAGCCCAACGCTGCAAGAGCGTTGGGCCCTGGCGACTCCGCATCTGGACCTGTTCATGTGCGATCTATGTTGATGCAAGAGCTGACGATTGAACCAGAACTTCTCAATCAGATGAATGCATGGGCAAATCAGACGGCGCAAAGCCAGCAAGATGCAGCAATTCTGATCCAGGAGTTGTTCAGAAGGACCCAGGTCCTTGGTGAAGCAGTTCAGCAGATTCCTCGTAGTTTGTGCGATCAGGTGCGTGAGCAGCTTCAGGCCGACTTAGCTGCGCAAGAGAAACGCATGATTGACTTGACAGGTAGGGTGACAGTGTTGGAAAACTTGTGTAGAGATGTTGTCGCAAGACTGAACGGCTTAGAAATAGAGGTGTCCAACCAACGGTCAGTGCTTAGTCATGTTCAACAAGAGTGCCAGCAAGTTGAGTCCCTGAAGTTTCGATGTGATGCGTTGCATGACGTTGTTGCGCAGCATGTTCGTGCCAGTGATGACACAAGCGTCTTGCATGTTCGGGTTGAGGCCCTTCAAGACATGATGAACCATGTTGCAAATCAGCTTGATGAGTTGGTCGCTGCTCAGTGTGATGTTGCCCGAAATGCTCTAGAGCATGATTTGCCCGACCCTGCTTGCATGACCCCGAGAAACCGTAGGCCAGAGCATTTTGTAATGAGCCCAGAAGTCATCTCATGTAGTCTTCCACAGGCCAACCAGCCTTCTGACCGCACCGTGCAGAACCTTCCTGAAGTGCCGCCGTTGCCTTTCGCAAGGATAGAGCCACGTGCGCCCCCGGCAAAGTCGTCAAGCTCTGCCGGTCCTCTCCCAGCAGCTGCAGCTGCACCCATTCCAGCAGTTCCTCAAGCAAAGGAGCCAAGTGTTTCAGTTGCAACAGCTTCATGGTCTCATGTTGGTGCTAGTGATGTTGGTCATGGTGGTAGTGCCGCTCTTGGCGGAATGGGTGGCGTGCCAGAGTCAGTGTCCGAGTCCAGCCTAGGTCAGTCTCAAGGTTGGCAGTGCCCGCCAGGGTTGCCCAACGCCCAAGCACATGCAGTTGCATCAATGGCAGTTTCTGAAGGAAATGTTGGCCTTGGGGACTATAAGTACATGAAACAAAGTCCTGCGCTGAGCTTGACAGGTGACAGAACATGGGAGAAGTGCATGGCGTTAGATCTCTGGTTTCAGCAGATGTCCATCACCGCTTCTGCCGTAGGAAAGGGTATGGAGTCGCACTGGAGGTTTGTGCTTGCAAAAGCTCGCGATGTCTACAGCAGAAATCAAAGCTTGAGCATTGCCGAGCGTGTCACTGTTGCAGCAGATGGCTCGCTAGGCCTCTCGACTTTGCCACAAGGAAGTGAACAGTTGGAAGGGAAGTTGTTGGTTGCGTTAATGGCTGCGCTGCCTGAAGAAATCAAACGGCCAATGCTAGAAGCTCATCCAAGCCGGGCGCCGACAAGCCTGGAACTGGTTCACCAAGCACTGGAATGGTGCGCGCCCGGAGGCAAGGAAGACCGCAGGTCGTTGCTTGAGTTTGTTCGACGCCCTGGTGGTGCTTTCGTGTCAGCTGCAGACTGCAGAGCGAGGCTCCGATTGTGGAGAAGTGCAAAGCACAGGCTCACTCGCCTTGGTCTTTCCCAGCCTCCTCCCACTGAACTTCTAATGGCCTTGGAAGAGATCGTTGCCAGTATGGAACGGAAGCATGAGTCGCTCAGGTTTGCACTTCAGGCTGCCCGCCTTGCCTCTGAAGTTCGCCAGCCGACCGAGCAAGGCGTTCTAGTTTTCGAGCAGCAGGTTGAACAGGAGTTGATGATGTTAGAACAGGATGAGCGCACACGTTCAAGTGCCCAAGGTATAGGTATCAATGCTGTGCGTGAATCTCCCAAAAGAAAGCCTTGCCATTTCTTCGCCAAACCCGGAGGTTGCTCGCGTAACCCATGCCCGTATGAGCATGTCAAGCCAGACAAGCCCAGTAAAGCAGAACCTAAGACACCCAGCAAGGCCCAGCCAAAGCAAAAGGGATCTCCTAAAGGTAGAGATGGTTCAAAGGGTGATGGCAAAGGGAAAGGTGAAGGAAAAGGCAAGGCCAAACCAAAGGTCCAAGCAAAAGCTGCTGAAGCAAAGGCGCCGACGCCAAGTGTGGAAGTCCTCGCGTCCATGTTGCACGTTCAGAGCGATCTAGAAGCAAGGTTGCAGTCCGTAGATGCTGCGATGGTGAAAGACCCCTTGCCATGGGTTCTGGTTGATTCTGGAGCAAATCAAGTTTTGCGACCCTGGGACCAGGAGGTGGAAAAAGAGCTCGGCCAAGCAACGCCTCTAAATGTGACCCTTGCCAGTGGAGAAATGCGCCAAGGGTGGAAAACATGCCAGGGCGAAGTTGTTTTGCCAAGAAAGTTCAGTCAGCCCCATGCCAAAACTCCTTGGATTTGCCCGTCAGTCGCCTTGTCCAAGAGCTTGGATATCAGGTTGTTTGGAAGCCGGCTGCAGTAGAGCTTGTAGCACCGTCTGGTAACAAAGTCACCTGCGTCATGAGACATGATTTGCCTTATTTGAAATGGAAAGATTTCCAGGGTATTCGCAAGCAGTTGGCAAAAAGCTTCCAGAGAGGTGCAGTAGCGCAAAAATGTGGAAGTTTAAATGCGGGGTCGGCTGAGGAAGATGAGGAAGCAGTGTGGTCCACGCTCACCCGAGCGGACGAAGTTGATGCTGCAGAAGAAGGAGACGTGTGGTGCAGTAGGATGCTGTGTTTGGAGCCAGAAGCCATTACGGCCTCAGCTAGGATCAGAGAAATTCAAGCACATGCCCTTGAAGAAGTCGCAAAGGCTTATTTGTCTGAATTCCATGTCCTAGCTGAGAAAGATTTGCCTGGTGTTCTTGAAGCACTTGTTTCACAGCTACCCTATGCAGACCGATTTGCGCCACGTCAGGCCAATGAAGCAAGCCAAGGAAAGACAAACTCGGTTGTCATTGGTTTGTATCAGCATGGCTCTTTCAGCGGTGTCACAACGTGGACGCATCGCATCCCACACACAGTGAAGCTGATCAACGCAATACTAGCCCAGCAGTTGCCTCACGATGCAGTTTGGACATCCATCCAAATGTCAAAGAATGCTCAGGTAGCGCCTCACAGAGATTCGAGAAACCAAGGGGTGTCTTACTTGAGGGCTTTTGGTGACTTTGAAGGGGGGAAACTATGGGTAGAAGATCCAGCTGGTCAAACAGAAGTTCGCCACCAAGATAAAATGTTGATGGGCACCCTGTACCCCACTAAAGGCCATTGGTTGAAGCTCAACGCAAAGCATTTGGTCCATTCTGTTGAGAAATTTCTCGGCACAAGAATTTCTGTTAGTGTGTACACTGCAGGAACTGGAAAGTTTGTCACGCATGAGATGGGCAGTAGTTTGTCTTCGTTTGGATTCAAGCTTCCAATGTCGCATCGGCGATACGAGGCCACAGTACAGGGGTGTTTGGGCGGGGAGGCACCATGTCAGGTTGATCCCTGGTGCGCTGGCATTCCCAGCAATCTTCAGTCCCGATCCTCAGATGTGCTGCAAGACCAAGAGTATCAGCCGGCGCCTGACATGCGTCAATCTGCAGTTGCAGCCGTTTTTGGCAAAGGTGTAGTAGAGCACATTGGAAATTCCGAACCAGATGACATTGGAGCCACAGTTTGCTTTGGCCCCTTGAGTTTAGATGCTGATGCCAAAGATGAACATGCCAGGTGTGGCCATGTGCCAAGTCGTCCTGATTGTGAAGCATGTCAGGAAGCTCTTGGCCTCAGACGCATTCACAGGAAAGTACCAGTAAATGCTAGAAGCACAGCCGTGTTGAGTTTGGACCTGACAGGACCACATCCGAGGGCTTTTGAAACGCATGCTCAGTATGCCCTTATTGCAGTTGCAACTCTTGACAATGGGTTGAATCTTGTTTATGGGGTCCCAGTGCTCGACAAGACGTCTGCAATCGTCCTCACTGCCACCCGGCATGTCCTCGGGATCTTGCGTTCTTTGTTTGGCGGCAAACTTCCCATTGCCCAAGTGCACAGCGACTGCGGTGGAGAGTTTGTGTCAAATTTGTTTCGATCAGCCATGCAGGAAATTGGTGTTTTTCAAACAACGTCTCAGCCAGGGGACAAAGCGCAAAATGGACGTGCTGAAAGGCACGTTGGGATTGTAAAGCAAAAAACCGTAGCTCTTCTGCAAGAGGGAAAGCTCCCGGTGACCATGTGGGCGCACGTCTTGCCCCACGCCTGCTTTCTCCTTAGACAGAGTGCTTTGGCCAGAACAGTCCCATCAAAGCTGCCTGTTCCTGGCGACTGCGTGATTGTGCCTGCCAAAGAACAAGCTGTTCGCGAGGGAGGTGATTTCGTGCCGAAAGTCAAATATGGAGTGTTCATTGGCATCGACGAAACCATCCCTGAAGGTGCCATTGTTGCAGTGCGAGATGGGGTCACAACAAGTCTCACGCGTGTGTCAGGTCCAAAGAAGTGGAAATCAGCAGACCTGAAGCGATGGCGCATGCACACACACCCAACCCAGGCAGACAAAGCTGTTTGGGTCTCAAGTGTAGGAGATGTTGTTTGGTCTAGTCCTCACTCCAGTGCCATTTTGGCCTTCGAAGAACGTAGGCCAGCGCCGGGCCCAACTGATGTTGCAGAGTTTGTCCGGCGAGGCATCCCAGGCCTCTCAGCACAGCAGTACTACAGTTTGTACATGCATTCGTACGAAGCCCCAGAGGAAATAGCAGACACAAATGCTGTCAGGAATGTTGAATACTCTTGGTTGGAACTTGCAGCTCATCAGGCCAATCTTGTTCGGGAAGCTTGCCACAGCCCAGATGCTTGGGTCACCGTAGGTTCTGTTTTGATCCGCAGGCATTTGACACCCCGTGTGAACATGTTTGAGCCAATTGATGATGAAGTCTGCAGATCCCCTGCCACCAGTTTATGTGCAGACAGGGTTACCGTGGTTTTGGCTGAAGGAGACAAGAAGAGCGTTGTGATTGACAGGTGGACTGAAGGCAATCCTGGAAGGCATCTCTTGCCAGACAGTAGAAAGTGGCGCGGTGTCACGCTGTTTGGTATCCTCGCCACTTCCTTGCCAGAGCCACTTGCATCAGCCGCAGTTGCTTCCGCGCAGGCAGAAGCAGCAATCACTACAGCATCTCCAAAATATTGGCTTCCAGACCCAGCAGCAGAAACCGAAATGCATAGACTGGAAAGTGCGGCCGCCAACCTTGAAACTCATGAGCTGGTTAACGTGCCTGTTGACCCGAAAGAAGTTGAACATGCTTCCGAGCCTGAGAAATCGAAGTGGTTGGCGGGTATAGATAAAGAAATGTCAAACTTGGAAGCCATGGCTGTATTTGACCGCATCACTCAGGAGGAGTATGATGTTTGGAAGGCCAGCAATCCCAGGTTGGCAAGGCCTCTCCCCACAAAGCTTGTGTTGGTCAAGAAACCACAGCCTGATGCCACAGATTTTGACAATCCCTACAACCACAAGGCGCGAATTGTCGTTTGCGGAAACATGCAGCAGAATGCCCAGAAAGAAATGACAAATCGCGCCGAAGTACCAGACGCTTTTTTCACTCGTTGTATTTTAGCAATGGTAGTGCTGAAAACGTTTTGCCTCACAGTTCTTGATGTGAACGCAGCATTTCTCTATGCTTCCTTGCCAAAGGATGAGCCGCCAGTGACAGTGTCACCGCCAGGACTGTTGAAACGGCTCGGCCTTGCAGGCCAAACTGAGCTATGGGTCTTGAGAAAGGCTTTGTATGGCTTGCGTGTATCTCCAAAATGTTGGACCAAGACTAGAAATGACACGGTCCGAGGTGTTGAAGTGCAGCTCCCTGATGGAAAAGCTTGTGTTTTTCAGCCAGCAGACTCGCAAGAACATGCTTGGGTGTTGGTTTGTGACTCGGGGGGGATTGTAGGCTATGCCCTGTTCTACGTTGATGACATTCTGCTTGCCGCACATGCTGCGAACCTTGTTGCGATTAGGAACGCAGTGAAGTTGATCTGGAAGGTTAAGGATCAAGGAACTCTCCTCAACCCTGCCGACAAGTCCCACACGGATGAGGCAAAGATGTCCCTCAATGTTCAGAGTGAGCTGGGATTTTTGGGAATGAGGCTTGGTTTCAATGCAGCTGGCAATCTGGAATGCCACCAATGTCCCTACATCCGTAGTTGCTTGAAGGAGCGTGGGTTTGGAGAAGTTCGAGGCAGCTTGTCGCTTCCAGCCGTGCAGGAAGGTATGCAGCCTGAGTTTGCAAACCGTGACTCTGAAGAGTACAGAGTGCTGATCCGCAAAGGGCAGCAGGAAATCGGTGCACTGCTTTGGGCTTCGCAAAGAAGCCGGCCTGACATTGCAGCGTGTGTAGGTGCATTGGGGTCGTTGCTTGTGACTCATCCAAAGAAGGTGTTGGAATGGTGTCATCAAGTTTGGAGATACCTTGCAGGCACGGTTGAGCATAGGATTGTGTTTCAAGGTCAAGCAGTTCAAGCGGATGCCTTTGAACTTAGTGTCAGTGCAGATGCCAGTTTTGCGCCAGGTGGAAGTAAGAGTCGGTCTGGCGTAGTTGCAATGCTCAATGGATGTTTAATCCAATGGTCCTCTACCAGGCAAAGCCTAGCTGCTCAAAGCGCAGTTGAGGCTGAAATCCAGGCAGCAGGTTTGGGTTGTGTGACAGCGATTGCAATCTTGAACTTGATGAAATCTCTCATAGGCAAGAGCACCTTAAGGGTTGAACTTTTGTCGGACAACACAGGTTGCATCGCAAACATTTTGCACACAGTAACCACATGGAGAAATCGCCATTTTTGCATTCGCGCAGCTGCCCTTCGAGACCAATTGACAGAGCACAGCATAGATTTGAAATATCGATCTGGAAGGCTGATTTTGGCAGATGCTTTGACCAAAGTTCTTGGGAGAAACGCTCTTGAGCTTGCAAGGGCGGCGTTGGGTGTGTCCAATCCTCCGTATAGCTCCTGAGGAGGAGTGTTGCTGTCTTGCTTGTGTTTTTTGTGACATGTGAGGCCAGGAACAATACGGAGAAGATTAGCATGACTCAAGAATGGAACGCATGGAGAGAGCACAAATCGAGAAGTGTGAAAGATGGAAAGCGACACGCACAAATCAGAAGTGTACTTTTGCGGGCCTTCATGGCTCAAGTCTGAAAAAGGAGTGAGTGTCACGTGCATGCTGTGAGGGTTGATGGAACATGAACAGGGTCCTCATCAATTAACACTTCCAGTACCAAAAGTCCTGGAAATTCCACGGAAGTTTCATCATGCGCCTCCAGCCAAATTTCCAACAGTTCAGTGGGTGTGTTTTAGCCATCGATCCATCCCATTGTGTCCCCATTGTATATCCCACCGTTACTACTGTAGTTAATTCACTCTCATTTATCAGTTAGTCGTTATATCCCCACAATTCCCCACATATGTTGGATATTGTTGGATGGTCTTAAAAATACTTCTGTAAGTGATGGTTGAATTTGAATATGCTTATATAAATCCCCATGAAATAATCAACTGTTATTTTTGAGGCTCAAATCACCCACAGATTGCTTTCTCGAGGCAAGAACTTCTGCGGACCGAGGAGGAGCTTGAACAGCAGTTTGTGCAGCAGCGTCAGGAACTCCTAGCAGAACTCCATGCGGAGGAGTTCCGACAGGAATTGGTGATGCCGGCAATGCTTGGAGGGTGAGATGGGGAAGGGAAAATGGTCATGTAGTTATAGGGAAAGTTGAACAGTGATGATCACTGTTTGAGGACATTTGATCCCACTTTTAGCGAATTGGAGCGCAACTGCGTTGGATTGGGATAGCTTTTGAAGATTTGGATGGCGTCCGGCTGGTGGAAGATGTTTTGTTTCCATCCCTATTATATAGTGGGATATCCGAATGAGCTCATAAATTTGCAAACTCATTCCAGGGTTCATCACATGTGAAAGATGACGTAATATGGTTTTGGAATCTCACCATACTCATCTTCTAAAAAGATGGAAAGTGTGCACAACATACCACCCGAACCACACATATCAGGAATGATTGCATATCCAAGACATGGAATGCTGCTCCACCAGAATCACACATCAACATCAAAAAATCCTGGTATTCTAAACTATCCCAATTTTTAACATCGACTTGTGATCCCGCAGCTGTTTCACCGCTGAAATAACCATGGACTTAGCTCCAAAAGGTGCTGATGTTGCCACACCGGTGACCCTTGGCATCGGGGGCAGCTTTGGGCGCCCGTGGTCAGCTGGCCGGAGGAAAAGTCCCGAGACTTCTGCGAGGGGTCGCAACAGTCGCGTGTGTCGCGAATGGCGGTTTTTGCTTTGCACTGCAGTCCTTTGGAAAGGAAGATCTCAAAGATGTCGAACTGTGCGAGTGCGAGCTGCAGTTCAGCGTTCCAAGTCTTTGCCTTCAGGCGTTGAAGAGAAAGAAATTGAGCAGCTGCCAGTGTACTCGGCAACAAGTTTTGCAACCTATTTGCAATCAGATTTTTGCGTATGGATGGACCGGCTGGCAGCGGAGTGTCCAGATCATCCTCTTTGCGCCAAAATGGGTGACCCGCGAGGTCTGCAGTATTTTTGGAAACTCGGCTTGGATGTGGAAGAAGCGTTGATCGAATGGATTCGATGTCAGCATCCGGAGTGGACATTTCTGGACCTGCACATATCTGCAGAAGATGCTTGGAAGTGCGGTGACTGTGACTGGAGATCGGCTGCAGCACAGCAGACACTGAAAGCTTTGGATGCCGAGGTGAGGATCTGATATGGTCTCGGGTGCAGCAAAGTTTTCATCGACAATGTTGATAAAAAAATCTGATGTATGGGAGATTCATTGACATTTTCTCCCATGATGCTACCATTCATCGACATTTTCTGAATGTTTTTATCTTTTTCTTAATGGTACCATATTATGGTACCATATGGTACCATAATGGGAGATGGCACCAGGTGGATGTGATCTACCAAGCTCCTGTGTACCACAGAGACTTGCAGCTCTACGGCATTGCAGATTTCATTTTGCGTCGAGAGGTGAATGGCACCGTTGAATACACCATTTGGGATACCAAATTGTCCAGTCATGCCCAAGGCCGGCTGATGAATTTTGGGAGAAATTGCGTTTCAAGATATACTGTATCCGACAATTCAACTTAAACATACTTCAACATACTTAAACAAGTTGATAGATGTTCTCCAAGTCAAATGCTCAAACAGATTGTAGAAACACCTATAGCACTGACATGACATACAGCGATTTCGAAAGGGCTGCTGGTTTTCGTTCTCTTGCGAACGGCAAACAAGTCTATCATAAAGTATAATGGCCGATCACGCTGGCACGTGCATTCAACCCCCCCAGTGCCCTTGTTTCTCACAATTCATAATCGACGGGCTTCTTCAGTCCATTGCATTGGGGTTTGAGAGGAAGAGGTAGAGAGGTCGTTTCGTTAGCTTTCGACCCTTCCTTCACAGACTAGGCATTAGATCCCAGCATGCGTATGATAGTTGGCATATCTTCCATGTCCTACTCATCTCATGCATGCAGGCCACTACTTGGCACAGCTGGCTTGCTATGCCGAAGCATTGTCCTCCATGTGTTCGGAGCTCCACAGTTCGCAGTCTCGTGTGGTTGCCAAGGTTGGCCTTGTCCTGGGTGCTGAAGCAGCAAGGAAAGGAACAGCTGCCTCTTGGCTATGATTCATTGAATGTATCCACTAAGTATGTGTAAAATATGTATATATATATATATATAAATATATATAGACTCATAAAGCAACAGTATCCCGCATTGAAATAAATTGAAGTGTTGGTGTAACATCCTTGTGCCCTATGCTTACAAAGACACGTTGCAGCAAGAAGACGCGGGATTTATGATCATGCCATCGGCTGCCTCTACCACAAAACAAACACATCCTTTTCCAATTTGACCAACTTGAGCAGAATGGTTTCCCACATTGGGATTCTGATATTATATTCTAATCACTCGTACTGTAATCCAGCTAGTATAACAATCTTCTGACTGTGACTGTGTACAGTATATCAGTATATAATTAAACCATATTAAACCCATATATTGCAATATATTCTAGTCATCCCGGAGGCATCCCATTCTAACCGTATTCCAACCGTATATTTCCCATTTCCAACCCTCCATCCCTAAGGGTTCCCTAGGGTTCCCTAGGGTTCCAAGGTGGAGTTACCGGTGCCCGCGCTGCGGCCCCATTTCCTCCGCGCCTGGCGCGCCTTCCGGGGCTTCCAGCGGCGCTTCGACGTGCGGGGGCCAAGGCCGTCGCCGCTCAGTGCCCTGGGTGGAGGCCGATGGGCGGAGGCCGCATGGCAGCTGCTGGAGGAAGAGGAGCCATGACGATGGGGGAAAAAGCTGGGGAAAAAGCTGGTGAAAATTGTGGGAAAATCATTTTTTAAAAAAAGTTGAAGTATATTTGGAAGATGTTTGAAAACCAAGGGAAAGCAAATGAAAACCATTTTCTCGAATCGGTTTAACATGGTTTAACATGTTTGAACATGTTGGCATCAAAGCCTACGTTTGTCCATGCTCAAATAATGCAGACAAGATGATTTACTTGTCACCTGAGGATGAACGAAAACACTGGCTATCGATTTTGACCTTTAAAATTCGACTTTCGGTTTCAAGTTTTAGGGTTTAGGGTGTTTAGGGTTTCAGGGTTTTAGATGTTTTAGGGTCTGAAATTTTGGAAAGTTAAACAACGCTAGCCCTACGCAGGGATTTGAGCATGTCAAAGGATATACGAGATCTATCATGGGCAAATGTAGGGTTTGCAGCCAACATGTTTAAGATGGTTCAAAACCAAAGTACCCCCAAAAAAAAAACAATTACCTCCAATTGTTTGATCTTGTTTCAAGGCAATGCATTGGGACAGCATTGGGGGGATCCCTTTCTGGACAATCCCAGTGGCTACTGAAAATAACATACTAGCATATGCTGTAGGGCTGTGATGGCAAAACTCACTTATATAATCTTATATATATATATTTCCAGAGGGTCCAGAGACTCACCATAACAAGCAATGTATTTGCATTTATCATCATAAATCCATCTCAGCCCCGTAGAGTCACTGTTGCATGATTGTTGGGTCCGCCAACTCATTGTGACAGGATGATCTTATCATTGTTGCTGGTATTCAGAAGACCCAGAGGCAGGGACAGTGCTGTGTCGGGTTGCACCTTCCAAGGTGCCGGTTACATCTTATCAGATTTTATCAGTAACCATATATTAACCATATATTAACCATATATGAACCATATATGAACCATATATTAACCAGGAAGAATCACCCAAATCATCCAAATCACATCGGCAGATTTGGAGGCTATTTTAGCACAAAAGCCGCTGAAATCCGCAGGCGCAAACTCCAGAACTTTCGCATTACGAAGCTGCAGCAACTGGCTGCGGTGTCCCCGTCCTGGTTGCCATCACTTGCAAAATCCACTGGGCTACAACTGGCGACAGTGCAGAGGCTCCGGCTGCAGGCAAGGCTTCAGCGGCTTGGTCAATGACGAAAAAATCGCGGTCTGGAAAGCCCTGAATCAAAAGCGGAATGGTTTAAGGCTAATAGCAGTTGGCAATTTGTTGTGACATTGTTTGGGAAAATTGTTGTGAAGTAAGGGTTGCTGGAAGAAAGATTCGCTTCAGAAATGGTCTTCAACTAGGGACATGTGCAACACTTAGAACTTGATAGCCACTATATGCAGACTCCACGTTATCATCCGAAATGGGTCGTTTTTAACAGGGAAACCTATGTTTTTTTGGGTATCACTATCACTAATTATTTTGGCAAACATACAAACTGAGACTTTTTGGATGTTCAGATGTTGCAACGTCACAAATTTTGTGCGCACGACTGCCTTAAATGGATGCCTTGGATTCTCAAGTCCCCTCAGTGAGAACGGGAAGTCGTCCTTTTTCGAACGTTATGCATAATATGGGGATGGGTCAAAACCCTGGTACCTAGTGAACCCCAAAATAGCTGGTAAATGGATGTTCATCCCACTAAAAATGTATCTATAGGTATTGACCCATACCCATATTAATATGCATAATATGCATAATGTGCGCACATATTGTAAGTGTGTCGCCATACACCGGCATCCGAATTTGGTGGTTCTAAGCACACTTAAGGCACACTTCCACAGTAGAGGGCTGACATGTGGACAAAACTTTGATGCAGAGACACGCCCACCGACAAATACGCATCACTAGCAGTACACCAGCAACTGGTCTGTGAGGCAGCCCCTCGTCTCATTCCCAAGGCACAAATCAAAGAGCAGCACGATACCAGCTTCCAAACTGCTGGCGAATGCAAAGCAGATCTTGCAGCACTTGCCACATGACTGGGGTAAGCTGGAAGTAACACCTGAAGCGTTTTGAAGTGTTTGGGCAAAGGAGTTCTGTGGTTTGACCATAGCCACCTGATAAGACCTTGAACAAAATAGCAAAGCAAACGCATGGTCGCGCCATGTCACCAGCCCCGGGGAGGACAACGAGGGTGACCTATTTCTGGATCTGGAAAGCTCTCCTTCGGCCGGATTAAACCTCAACTACCTCATTGGAATTTGCCGCCGAGATGGACAGTATTTGACTTGGTGGGCTCACACTGCAACTGGTTGGTGCTTTCCAGCCTTGCTGGGTGAGGATTTTTTAGGGCTACGCAACAGATTTTTTAGGATCATCCAATCCCGCTTAACCAACCAGCATCTATTGATGCCCCCGCTTAACCAATTTAGCAATGGGTTTCTACCAACCAGGTAGAAGATGAGCAAAAGAGCTTTGAGGCCGTCTTGGATTACATCTTTCAAAGGCGTTCGCTGTACGAAGGCATGCATGTCTATTGTTATGGACACTTCGAAGCGGCTGCTTTCCGCCGCACTGCAGAGAGGTCCTCAGCTGAATACCAAGCAAAAACAGAGGAGCCAACCTGTTCTCAATCAACATATATTAAACCGTTCTTGATAGTTATTGCAGGCCAATTCTTCCTCGAAGATAGAGTGTTGAATCTCAACAAATTCACGATCTTTGCCTGTTCCAGGAGTTCATCAATGATGTCCTTGTGGATCTTCTGCCTGTGGTCAAAGGATCGTTAGCTTTGGGACTTCCTGGCTATGGATTGAAGCAGGTGGAGAGGATGTATAAGACACTTGGAAAGACGCACGATGGAACAGGGGACCCCTTTGTGACTATTGTGGAAGATATTGTGCTAATGGCTTCCGGATTTAGACTTTTAGACCGATCCGCAGATTTTTGTCATTAAACCATCTGTCATTAAACCATCGCATTTTTGAGGTGGCGATGTTTCTCTTAGCCATGCAAGAACTGTAATTACATGTACCATGCTACCATGCCTGAGAAACAAACTCAGCCGAGTAGCTCAAGTTCTGTTTTCCTTGATTTCTGAGGAAAGCACGAAGGACAGACATTGCTGTTGCCGTGGACTCCATGGTTGCATACCAGACACCAGGCTGATAAAGCAGACTTTCGTGTGCGTGAGTAACAGAAGCAACACCATAAGCGGCAAGAGTGTACGGTGTGCCAGAACCACAGATTTCCACATGTTTCCTTAAATTCGAGATGACATGATCATCATGATTGGGAAGCGCCGCAGACGAGGAAATGGGTGGAAGAATCCGATGGTGATGCTGACACTTCTCAGCTCTTACGCCACTGAAACTGCAGTGTCCAGTGAGTTGAGAGTAATGGTTGCCATGACCCTTTGACCTCACAGCCCATGCCATGTAGCCAAAGGGCTGCTTTGTGAAATGAAGTAAAACTCAAAGAGTCTATTGCAATATATTGCAAGGAACAAAGGTGAGTTGATGATGTTTAGTTTTGAATAGTTTTGAAGAGTATGAATTGTTGGATTGCAGTTTTGTGAATGTCTTTGATCAAGAGACGACATGAAATGCTTCGCCATGCTCTGGCCTTTGGGGCCCTGAGGCCACATTCGCGAATACAATGAGGATGACTGCAAATCTACGATGGAACTCCTGCGCTGGTCTCTTGGCAGTCGTTTGGCAATATATTGATGACATATATTAATATATATATATAATGCATATGATATATATATATATATAATTATATATATATGTACAAGTGTATATATATATATATCTGTATATATATATAAAGGCCTTGGCAATGGCAGTGCAGCAGCGCATGGCAGTGCATTGAGTTTTTGATGGGATTGGAGACATTGAACCTCTGGCTGTGCAACCCAGGCTGCGGAAAAGATGTGCTTCTTGGCTGCAGGGATGTGAAAGCAACAAGACATGGTAAGGTCTCAATTTACTTCCAGAGGCTTGCAATTCCATGCTCAAGGGTCAATTCAGTACTCTCCACTGCAAGAGAGCCAGAGTATGCCAGAGTGACGTGTTTCTGTTTTAGTTTGCGAGCAGCAGCGGTGCGCTCATTTCAAGAGGATACAGGAACGTAGAGTTCATGGAAGGAATGTGGTTGATTCGGCTGGTCCTGCTGAAACAAACGTGGTAAGTCTGCTCCCCTTGGAGCACATCATGATATTGAATGACCGTTTAGACTTCAACAGGCAAATCAGAGCAAGTGCTACCACAGATATCCACAGACCAGGACAGGAGAACGCAAATTCGGATGAAAAAAGATGAAACAAGTATGAGCAAGAACTTCAATGTAAAGCACGCACGGCACAGCCGTGGTGGGTGAGGCCAAAGTTCAAGTGCCTCATGTCCCAAAGACTCCGGCGCCAAAAAGAGGCAGGGAAAGTACTGGTCCCGTGCTGCCAAGTAAAGTCGACAAGGCGGCGACATTTGATGTGATTGATTCCAAGATAGCATGAGCTGACCAAGGCAAGGGCTCGGATGCACTAGACTTGGGGAGCAGGTTTAAAAACTGCTTTGATTGTCGGGGATGCACTATGAGGATGCCGAGCCCACAGAAAAAGTCAATGAAATGCCACGACAAAATCCTCCACGTGACGTTCGGGTGTCAAGTGCTGTATAGGGCCGAAGACCTGACCATTTGAGGCAAAGCTCCCTCAAAGAAAAGCGAGACAGCAGATGTTTCCAAAGCTTTAGTAGCAAGGTTGCATTAAAACTGCTTGCTGACAAGGGAGCGACCATGTAATTACTTGCGCTGTGGATTCCATGTGCTGCACAAGGAAGACTTCAAGAAGTTTGTCAATGAGCGTTGTGAACAAGAGGAACGCTCTTTGCTTGCACATGATTCCTTGAACAGACCCATGTTCAAACCGTTGCCGAACAGTCTTCATCCTATAGTTGGGCACTGCTTTAGCTTAGCCTTTTCAATTGAGTTGGAGTGAAAAAAGATGAACAAAAAGACTGACGCCCTTTCAGGTTTTAGATGCAAGATGCAGACACAGCCACCGTGACCGGGGCGAAGTAAGTACAGTGTGTGTACAGAGGGGGTTGTACAGGGGGTTGAGCAGCAAAACTGCGATCGAGCAATGCTGCCAAGAAACAGACTCAATCAGTCCAGCTTGCCACCATGCTTACGCTATGACCCAAAACTTCCCACAACAACACTGCGAAAGCCCCTACAACAGCTTGAGAGATTGGGGCAATTATCCACAAGTTTGCAAGGAACCATGCTGCTCTGCATGGCCAGGTGATGGAAAGATTGCGGCGCTGCGGGGAAGCCTGAAGTGGTCCTTCATCACAGGTGCAAATATGCTCAAACCTATTCAAATCCACTACTGTAGCCTGACATTTTGGTACTTCATATGAGGTGGGCGTCTTCTCTTTCCACTACCAATTTGACCCGTTGCATTAATCCTTGATGCCAAGTGCGGCTGCGGTTTTACTATGGGTAGGCCAGCAATGCTTATCTGATCTCATTTGGCTGGACATTTTGTTTGGTCATTGTGGGTAAAAGTGATATTTGATCCCCCACAAATGCACGTTCGAATTCCGTATTTCTGATCGGACAAGTTTGGGATCACGGTCTTACAGATACCATAAATGATATAAATGTGTGGATTATTGTGGATTTAGATCCAGCACTGGGGATACAAACCAGGACTGACGTTCGTAGATTAGAGAACAATTGAATATGTTGAACCCATTGGTAAAACCAAGTTTGTAAATGACAACCAAATCCCCAGATGCTAGCTGGTATAGTAATAGTATCGAATAGTATACAGCTGCACGGAAAAAACTGTTGGCTTCGTTACATTGATCGCCCAACAATAGCATTATTTTTGCTCAAGCAGTCCGTCGACACAGCACCATGGCACCTCGCGCACTTCTGTTTCTGGCGCTCCTCTCCCTCGTTGATGCCAACGGTACTCCCCACGCATCGCTGCGCGGCCACAAGGAGGTGAACGCCAGTGAGGCACCCAGCATGGCGACCAGCATCTCCAACATCAGCGGAAATTTCGGCAGGAAATTTCGGCCCATAGAGTGCTGTGAGTCATATTGTACGTGTAAAGATCGTAAGACTTCGATGTGCAAAATCTGTGATCCTGCTGACGTTGACTATTTAACTTGCTGCACAGTGGAATTTAAGCCGGTAGAATTTCCATTTCCGAAGCCGGAAGAATTTCAACCGCACATCCCGTACAACCCGGAGCCAGTTGAGCTGCCAAAGCCTCCATATTACATCTCAACGCGAAGCGTCACACTTACCTTTATTCCCTGAAATCGGAGGCGGTCTTTGAGCCGTTTAAGTGCAGCCAGTGTAGCAGTGACCAAAGCCTACTGAAGCATGTTACTGTATAGATATATTTTTTATAAGATTTTGTAGGCGGTTTACCTCGGTGAAAGGACTTTTCTAATCCGAAATTTTACCAGTATCAATGTGGGACTTCCAGTCAGCTAGAAGGTTATGATTGGTTTTGGACACTGCTCATTTTCACAGAAGTGTGGGCTGCTCGCAAGAGGGAACGCGACAGTGCTACGATGCTCACTTTTGTGATCCCCCTTGCAATTTCCCTTACAATATCATGGGGGTCAGACCCCCAGTACATGGGGTGCGACCTTCACACTGAATTGCAAGGGGGATCTTTTGTGAATATGTACAGCAACCCCAAGTCATAGATAGAAAAGTTTCAAACCTACAAAACGTTAGGTACTGTCATGAAATCTTATCTGTAACCTTCTATAACATAGTGGGAGCACTTTTCTATCTCTTTTTGGGTAGCCATATACAGTATATCATTTTTGTGTCAGCTTTTGCACAGGAAGTGCAACTGTAGTGACTACTCCGACTATGCTGGTGATACAATTTACCTGCGGAGATCGAAAAAAATGCAGAGATGAGCAGGTTGTGTCAATGATGAGCCAGCGCCGATCAATCGCTTACTTTCGCACTCGGGTCTGGAAGTTGGACAACTTCTATTCTATGATACGCCAATATATTGTATAATTCTATGGGTTTATCATCATGTTCCCTATTTTATTGGCCGGGGTTTACCCTATGCTACTGTATCGGCCGCCCCGAAGAACGGACTCTGCCAGGCCTCAGGGAGAAATGGGTTGTACTGAGAGTGGGGTGGTTCATTTGGGCATCTATAGCGAGCAAATCACCAGTTTAAATGGGCCATGGATTCCATAGCTATGTGACAAATTAGCAAAGAGTACTACTGTAATAGCATGTAATGGCCATCTTTAGGGAAACGGACTAAACCAATTGAACCTTGTCGCTAATCATTTCAGGGATTGCTTTAAGGGATGGTAAACCTTCAAATTGTGGATGGTTTATGTGTTGTCCTTTGTTTAGGTATTGTTTCGGTTGATTTATGAAGCAAACAACAATTGACCATAACCTTGTTCTTTTTAAGGTTGCTGACAAAAGCGTTTGGTTCAATGAGGGATGCGTTTCTCTAAGCCGCATTGAGCATAGCCACACCTGAAAAGTCAAGATCCTGTTTGGTCAAACAGCATTGACCATTTTCAGTCAGTACGGCTTTGATCATTTGGAGCCGTTTTGCTGCATATGCCTATGCCATTTCGTTGACACAATGTTGAACAGTTGTGGCTGCGGTTTTCAATGCTTATCTTATCTCATTTGGCTGGACATTTTGTTTGGTCATTGCGGGTAAAGTTGATATTTGATCCCCCACAAATGATCACAAATGCACGTTCGAATTCCGTATTTCTGATCGGACAAGTTTGGGATCACGGTCTTACAGATACCATAAATGATATAAATGTGTGGATTATTGTGGATTTAGATCCAGCGCTGGGGATACAAACCAGGACTGACGTTCGTAGATTAGAGAACACTTGAATATGTTGAACCCATTGGTAAAACCAAGTTTGTAAATGACAACCAAATCCCCAAATGCTAGCTGGTATAGTAATAGTATCGAATAGTATACCGCTGCACGGAAAAAACTGTTGGCTTCGTTACATGAAAGGGTATTCCAAAAACATCCAGATGGTATCAAATCAATAGTATGACTTTACAAAAATCTAGTGTTGATCTGTCAAAAATCCTCTGGATCATCAAATGGGCAAGAGTCAAACAAAACCATAAAAATGAACAGTTCATACTAACAGTATTTAAAATTGTCGAATTTGTGAGGCTGTTGAATTTGGGATTAGCATTTCAGTAGCAGATTTTAAATTCTGGGGGGAACCTTCCTAATCAATAAAAAAAAAATTGACCGAAGTCTGTTAATCTCACAGAATTCGAAGATGCGAAAATCTGCAGGACCCCCCCATATTTCATGGTAAAAAAACATTCTTTTCCCACCTCAGATGTAAGGCCTGTCCTCCCTGGAAAGCTCAGCCGCAGAAGCTGAAGAGAAAGCCAAGGTGAGATGGGTAGTTCACCAGGTTCACCAGTGATTTGCAAAAGAAAACAGCGAACACCCAAAAATAGTTTCTGTTTCTGCTAAGGACGTAGACCCAATTTCAAGAACCCTGCATATTCAACCCTGATCAACCCTGATTGTTACATATCCAACATTAAGCCATATCCACTATATACTACATATATTCCCGTGTTGAAATGGTATCTCCCCAACTTTAAGAACATCCAGTTTTCAGATATTGTTTTTTTCTCCCCAAGGAGTGCACTGCTTTGCGATCTACCGCGGCCACTGTTCAAGAGCGGCGCGGGAACACAGATTCTTCACGGGTTAACGCTGGTCCGCCAAGTCGTAGTAGCAGAAAAGCGCCGACGTTCTTTTTCCGCCGAGGCTGGAGCAGTGCAATAGTCGCGTTGAGGATCTGGAGGCTAAGGGATGAGGATATTTATCACCTCCCCAAAAAAGCAGACAAGTCAACACATACATAAACAATGGTTAAGATGGGACTGTTATTAATTATTTGGTTTATATACCTTTATTCAGTTACTAATCCTCTCTCCCTATTACTAACCCCCCTAAATGGTAAACACGGTGATCTATTTTTATTATTAGGGGGTATTTTGTATTAGGGTGCCCCTAATATTCCAATGAAAAACACCAATAATAAAAATAAAAAAAGTCGATTTCAAATTTGATTAAATCCCTTACAAGTAGTACCCGGGCAAGCCGGGGGCGGGAGTTTCAAATTTGAAACGCTTATAGCCTATAGAGCGGAGCAAAGGCTGTGCCTATAGGTGACAGGCAAGCCTCCTGTGCTTCGTGGCAACAGGCTCTTGACTTGTCAATCTGATGCCATGTCTTTCGACTGTTCAATCTTTTATCATTTCATCTGATCTCATCGCATCGTAGCTTCTCTTGGAAATTGCTCACCCACTGTCACCGCAGTCTGCGTCATCCCATCTCATCTCAACTCATCTCAACTCATCTCATGTCTCCTGAGTTTTTTCACCTCATGCAGCGTCTCTTGGAAATTGCTCACTGCATCCCACTGTCACCGCAGTCTGTGTCATCCCAGCTCATCTCATCTCATTTCATTACTGACTTCCTTCAAATTTTGAAAGTTCAAGTGGCGAAAATGAAGCCTGGACTGTCAGCTCCGCGGGGCCGATCCGAGAATGATCCCGGTTCAAACGAACGTGTTCCGAAACCGTCCGCCGGACAAGCTTCCCCATCCATCTTCCGGGACACTATCTCTCCAACATGAATTCGTGCGAGACGTCCCTCAAAAAGTGAAAGTTGACAATGTGAAAACGAAGCTTTCATGCGAGACATCCCTCAAAATCTCAAAGTCGCAGATGAGTTCTCTTTGCTGTGAGTTCTCGTGGCTGTGAGGTCTCTTGGCTGTGAGATCTCTTGGCTGTGAGATCTCTTGGCTGTGAGATCTCTTGGCTGAGATCTCTTGGCTGTGAGATCTCTTGGCTGAGAGATCTCTTGGCTGTGAGATCTCTTGGCTGTGGCGAATAGATTTTTAAAAATCTGTAGCTCGGAAGTTAGACCTTCAAACTTTCTTTGATTGAAATCTACATAAAAGATAGCCAAAAACTGGATTTCGAAGCTTTCCCGTTAGATTCCAATGAAAACCTTAAAGTTTTAGTAATAGGAAGAAGGGATTATATTCTAGCAATTGACCAACGTGCAATGATCATTTATGGTGTTCGTTTATTTTGTGTATATACATACACAATCATACAATCATACAATCATACAATCATACATGCATGCATGCATGCATGCATGCATGCATGCATGCATGCATATGTGATTATATGTATATGTATATACATATACATATACATATACATATACTGATATTCGTTCACACATCGTATACATCACTACACTCACATATATATGTTGACATATCATCGGTGAGGTAGGTTTGGGATAGGTCGAGGTCTCTAGGCAGTTGTTCATTCACACTCGTTTCTTTTTAACATGTTGTTCAACATGTCATTCCATTTGTGATCGCTGAGGAATGCTCTTTGCCATTTTGGCCTCAAAGATCAAAGCAGTGATCACTTCCAGGTCGAAACATTCCCCCTTTCTTGTAGAGTTTAGGGCCTGGGAAGTCGATCCTGCTCAGGACAAGGTAGGATGTCGAATTTTCCTCCTTGCACACCGTTTGCTCGTCAGCAAGCCATGGCATCCAGGAGAGCTCAAGGGTCGATCAGGCCTGAGGATTCGGTCTCATCAGCCTCCTGGAGCGTTGTTCATGATGGGCAGCACGGTGGTTCAATTAGCGGCAATGTTCAGAGTTTTGGCCATGCTCAAGGTGGAGGTCAGGCTTCAGCACCTAAAGCTCCACCACCAGGTTTTGCTCCAGCTGGGCCTGCCTATGGGATGGCACCGGATCAGCCAGCTCAGGCTGACACAGACTCTGATGATGCTCCCCCTCCTGACATGAGTGGGGCTTTTGTTCAGCCAGCCACGAGTGGCCCTGCTCAACAGTTTCCAGTTGCAGCTCCAGCAACCCAAGCTGCTCGTCAAGTCCTTGGGTCTGCACAGAAGCAAGCGGAGAAGCTGGCAGCTCAGAAAGCCAGGGCCAAGAAACGCGGCGGTCGGGGTGTGAAATGGGGCCAGATGCCAGGCGCAAATGCTCAGAATTGGCAATTGCCCCCATTTGTTCAACAGTTGGGAGCCAAAGAGGATGAGCGCTCGGTCCTCATCATTGACTCGAGGGACAAGAGGATCCAGTCACCATACCAAGGTTGGCCCTTGGACGAGATCCTCCTGAACGCTCAAAGTGGGGTGAACATTCTGTCGGATCGACAGTTGATCAGATCCCCCAACTCAGGCTACCACATGAACCTGTTCTATGTCCGCACCATCGATGGTTACAAGTTCATTTTGGTTGGATCAATGACTTCATATGGCACAGTTCCTTGTGCCCAGTGGGACAGCGCCACTGGCGAGGTCATGAAGCACCAGGCGTTCCAGCCGTTCAGATGGCCCCTGATGACCAATGAGAGTTCGACATGGGTGGATGTCAAGGTGAAGATTGAGGGTGATCTGCTCCTTCACCTTGAGCTCAGGGGGTACCGCTCGGATGCAGACATGACTGTTCAGATGAACTATCTGAATGATGAGTCTCCCAGCTCGACACCTACCTGTTCGTCCCATCCTGCGTGGTCACGATCTTCCGCGGCTGGAGAGTGATCGCCACTTCGTTCGAGGTGGGAGGCAGGCTTTATGCTTGCAGCGATGGTGGAGTGGTCGTTGCCATGGACTTCCCGCTCTGCCACTTCGAGATCAGGCTCACGGCCACGTCCTCGGCAGATTCGATCGGCATGGATGCTGATCGGCTGGAGTTCAGGTTCCGCTCGTCTGGGGACACTATTGATGTGGCCTGTTCACAAGTGGTCGTGCCTTCCACATGGCTCGTGGTGTCGAGAGTTTCTGGGCCTACGCTCATCAAAAACGCTCGGTGGTGCCGCGAGAACCATGCTCGAATTGAAGGGCCAGATCAGACGATGCAGCTCTCGCAGCTGGCGGGGGTTCATGCGCACTGGACGGCTTCGATCGAGGCTGCCACGGTTCAAGAGGTTGGCCCGCGCATTGGTGCTGTGGATGTTGGCACACACCCTGCCAACCTCCACCTGACATGCGAGTCGCCCTTGTTCAAGGCGGAGCACAAGATCGTGCCGAAGGAGGCGCTGGCGCTTCAAGACCACGATGTGGACTTTGAGCTCTCCATGGCAGTGCTGCCTCCGGTCACGGGTGGCCCGTCCGTGGTGCCCTTGGCTTCAACGTCTGGCCTGCTCAGGGACTTGGCTGGGTCGTCACGCCAGTCGATCCCCGTGGCTCCAAAGACCAATGCTGAGGTCTCAGTGAATGAGCCTGGTCAGGCGAGTGAGGCGACAAGCCGAGCTGGAGGTACCGTTCAAGTCCAGAGGCGTTCGCTTGAGGTGAGAATGGCAGAGAGCATGGCGACAGCTGCTGTCACGCCTCAGGCGTTTTTGGATCACGTTGACCAAGCCGTCTCCGGCTACCAGCCTGCTCCGCGTGGACAGCCCAGATCGTTTGGTCCACCGCCAGTGGTTGAAGAGGTCGTTGAGGAGTGCTGATCAGAAGTTCAGCCGGCTCTGGGCCTTTTGGAACCCACTCCGTGAAGGAGTCTTCCCACACTTTCGCGTGAGCATGATCGCTCATTGAGCTCGCAGTGAAACAAGCTGGATGATGTGCATGTAGCATATATGAGGGTTGCTGGGGGGCCCCTTCTTCCATGTTCCCCGTTTGGGTTCCCCCCTCCGCGTTCGGTTTTGGGGTTTTGGGTTCACCTTACACGTTGGGGTCTTGGTTTTATTGGGGCTTTTACCCCCAGTAATGTTTCATGTTCATGCATGAGGTTTCCCTTTCGGTGGGGGGGAAACACATCCAGCTCGGGTCCTACGATCTGTTGGGGATCGCGCGCCTGCTCAGGCACGCTCCTCAGTGGTTTGGTTGTGGGATCCCAGATCGAACGTGTAGCAGAGCGACTGAGCAGTCTGTTTCGGGAAGAAACTAGTTGGTTGGCTGTTCAGTCATCTTGCTCGGTTTGATCTGTGTAGGTTGCGCTCATTTTCAACTGCTAGAGTGTGGTCGTGTCGGTAGGTCGTTCGATTTTGAGTCTTGTGATTTTTAATCTACTGCCTCTGACACCGCATTCTCGTTCAACTCTCTTTTTGCTCGTTCAGCTTTATATTTTGTTTTTATGTGTGTGGGTAGTTCGAACCATTATCCTCGTGAAGAGGTGCCTGTGAAAGGTTGTTCAACCCATGCAAGGACGCAACACGTTGTTGGTCACCAGCTCGAATCATGTCGAGGTTTGGATTATTTTATTTGTTGTTTGCATGTTTAAAGGTTGAACATGTTGTACTCGGGAAGAGGCGCCTGCGAAAGGTTTTTCAACCCATGCATAGCCATAACATGTTGCCGCTCACCAGTTCGAACCATGGCTCATGCACCCAATAGATGGGCGTCTAAGATCTTGAATTTACCAGTTTTCTCTGACGCCTTCGCTCAGGCTGTGCTGAAGTCTCCCTATGCAGACTTGGCATTCGTTTCAGCCATGGAGGTGCGTACAGCTCCAGAGTTCGTGGTGAAAGTGTTCGAATGGTCCTCATCGCTCGAGCCTGACTGTAAGGAAGTACTGTTAGAAAACAAGCTCATGCTGGAACAGTACTGGTCGTTGGCAGGGTCGATTGAGAAGGCTTTCTTTGCATCAACTGCTCAACAGTTGGGGTTTGGTTTATGTGACCCAGTAGCTGTTACTTTGAGTGCAGAGGCTGCCCGGGCCAGATGGGCTATAGCAATGCGGTCGCTAGTTGAAAAACCGGCTCAACCGCCCAGGAAGCTGCTCAAGAAAGACTCCAACGAGCTCTCTCCTACGCCATTGCTGGATCAGGAGAATGCAGCGAGGCTCAAGTGGGCAGGGAAGTTGGAGGCGATCGGACAGCGTGCTGGTGAATGTTCCAAACTGTTGCAAGACACGGCAAACAGCCAGGGCCTGTCACCGGCGGAGACAGTCAAGCTCAGGCAGATGGTGCTCTCTTCCGGTGCTCCCCGAACCATGTCAGCTCATATCACAGCTTGGGAAAGGTTCGAAGAGTGGGCCACCAGCATAGGTCAGGACGTTTTTCCACTCACCCATGACTTGTTGCTGAAGTATGCGCTCGCTTTGGATGAGAGAGAGTGTGGTCCCACGGTGCTGCCATCGTTCAGGACATCCGTGAAGTGGGTCACTTCCAAGCTGGCCATTGAATGCCCCGATCTGGCACACCCCGCCATACTGGCAGTTCAGTCCGAGATCATCAACAAGAGGGCTGCCACTTTGAAGGAGGCAGCCCCCTTTCCGATCGAGGTGGTTGGCTGCATGGAGCTGTTGGTGGTTGATGATAAAGAGCCGGATCCGGCGAGGCTCTTTGTTTGGTGGTGGCTTTGCATGATCTTCGCTTCCTTGCGTTTTGACGACGCCACCCATGTCAAGCCCAAGGAGTTGATCATGGAGGAGCAAGGTCTCTTTGGCGTGGCTTGGCAGACCAAAGTGGAGCGGAAGCGCAGAGGCACCAAGTTCATAGTGCCAAAGGTGGGCTTCAAGACCGGGGAGTGGCTCGAAGCTGGTTGGCAGATCTTTCAGAAGGAAGACATGGAGCGAGATTTTTGGCTCCGTGATTTGAACACCCGCTCAGAGTTTCGTGATGCTCCGGCGGCCTACCAGCGCTCGCTCCAGTGGGTCAGATTCTTTGCCAAGTACGCCATCAACCAGCATTTTCAAGGCACAGAGCTCAGGATGAAAGAGCTGATCAGTGCCCTGCCCCAGATCACTGCACACTCTGCCCGAGTCACATTGCTCGATGCGGCGGTGCATGCTGGCAGATCGACTGAGGAGATTGGTCTGCAAGCGAACTGGAAGAATCCAGGGCCGCTCGTGCTCAAATACAGCCAGGAACAGAACTAATGTTCCGGCCCAGATGGTTCAGCAACTGGTCAAAGACCTTGTTGCCCAGGAGCACCCGCTCGAGGAGGTGGAAGACGCGGTCTTGGATGAGCAGGACGAGGCCTCTTTGACTGAGGTTCAGTTCTATGTCAAGACCAATGGTCGCTCGAGCCATGATTACCGCTACCATTGCCCTCAGCTTGGTAATGATGAAGTTCTAGCATGCGGGCGAGTGGAGCTCGCAGAGTGCACGGAGGTGGGCTCAACACTCCCAGATGTCTCCGTCTTCTGCAAGCATTGTGCGCGTGCAAGACCAGACCTGGCCTCAAGATGCTTCTCTGCCTTCGGCCGTGCTCCTGGAACAGCCTTTTGAGACTTAGGCTGCACTGTTTTGGCGTTATTTTTGCTGGGTTTTCCTGCTTTATTTATTTATCCATTAACTGATTTTCGAGCTTATGGCTCTTGAGTTGTAGCAGTGTGGTCACAATGGTCGATCGCACCGTCTACGATGCAGACAAGATCCCGGATTTGCCGCTGCGTCAGATCTTTGGCAGGCAGCGAGTGTCCGAAGATCTTTGTAAGTTGGCAGCAGACAGCGGCCTGCTCAATGTGGAGACTCTTGCCACGCTCGGCGACACGATTGCCGCAGTGAAGACCTCCATCAGGACAATTGTTGCTGATCCTGCCAAGCTCGGCACAGACGCACCTGCTCAGGAGCTCGCTCTGACCAACCTGGCTGCTGTTTGGAAGACATGCTCTACGATGCAAGATCATTTCGCGGCACGACGTGCCAAGATGGAAGAGGATCCTTCCAAGGTCCCCGAAATTCCTGGTGAAGATCATGCCGAGTTCAGGGACACGTTTGTGGCTCGCCACCCTGATGTTCTTCTTCCTCTTCACCGAGAGCCCCACCGAAAGTTCGTAGAGCGTGTTCAACGTGACTATCTCGTCCATGGTTTCGTTCACTTCTACGAGGTGGGGGAGATCAGGACCAGAAACGAACAGATAGCTCAGAAGTCTGGGATCAGCAAGAACGCAGAAGACCTCCTGCGGGTTGTGATGGTTGATCAGCCAGTGTCAGCAAGCTCAGAGACGCAAGTGATGGACAAGCTGCACGCTTTCTTCATCACACTCGAATACCTCAACATCTGCGAGTTCACTGTTCAGGCAGGCCCGCTGAAGTACCTGGCTGAGCTCGAGGAGTGGCGTCATGAGAACCGTGGGCTAGCCCTACTGCTCACTGTGGACACGCTCATTCGCAAGAAGGTGCACAGAGTCAGCTCTGACCAGCGTAAAAAGTTCACGTCCTTCTCAGCGGCGCTCCTTGAGGTGCTCACCAACCACAAGCAGCTCTGGAATGATGCGCGATCAAGTGCGGAGCTCGACAAGTTCCGTCAGGCCTTGACTGGTTCGGCGGCTCCTGCTACTCCAGCAAAGAAGCGGTCCAGATCGCGATCGCAGTCAACCATGAAGGTCTCCCCGAAGGCCAAGAAGAACAAACAGCGGCGGGCGCGCCAGAAGCAAGTGCTCCAGAAAGCCAAAGCCCTGGTTGCCTCTCATGGACCGCCCGATCGTGCGGAAGGCAAGAAAGCCGCTGCTCGTGACGAACGGGTGCCCGCCAAAGAATGGCAAAAGATCACGTCATTCAAGTACGGTGGGCCCAAGCGTTGCCCGTTCTACAACTGTTCTTTGGGCTGCCGCTTTGGTGATCAATGTCGACAGAAGCATGCGTGCGTTGAGTGTGGTAAAGACCACCCTTGGCACGGCAACCACTGAGCCGTTCGTGTCGGCCAGGTGGACTTGGATCGACCACCTGGCTCATGGTCTTCAGATCCTGCAGAGCACAGTGACGTGGGCTGCCGCTCTGGCAGCACACTGAGACCGGCGACCTCCTCGCCTTGCTCTCCAAAGAACTGGTCTGATCCTGTTGACTTGGCAGCTCTGCAAGTAGAGGGCCCCTTCTTCCTGGAGCTCTTTGCGGGCAAGGCTGGAATTTCAGAAGCAGTTCTTTTGCAAGGTGTGCCCATTCTGCCCCCGGTCGATATCGTGATCTCAGATATGGTTGCGGCACCGGTGGACATTGTGGACTGGAAATTTTGGAACAAGATCCTGTCGGTGGTCATGGCAGGGCTCGTTTTCTTCCTCCACTGCGGCACTCCTTGCAACACTTTCACCTCTGCTCGGAAGAACGATGGAGGGCCTCCTCCGCTGCGCTCAGCGCTGGAGCCCATGGGTCTGCAGGATCTCTCAGTGGACAATTGGGCTCTTGTTTTTCTTGGCAACATTTTTCTTTTGCGCACAGCCGAAGCGTGTCGCTTAGTTTTTGATTTAGGTGGCAATTTTTCTATCGCGAACCCTCTGTTAAGTTTAATGTGGCAAACTACAGTAATGCAGCAGCTGATCAGTGAGACGCGAGCCTTGGCGCTGGACTTTGATCAGTGCGCCTTTGGAGCTCCGTCGGTGAAACCAACTAGGCTCGTCTGCTCTACAGATCTGCTTGATGATGTATGCGTAAGATGCCCTGGTGACCATTACCATGTGCAGCTCAAGGGTAAAGTGCGGGATCCTCGCACTGGCAAACTGATCTTTCGCACGAAGGCGGCTCAGATCTACCCTTGGGCGCTATGTGCAACCCTTGCCATGGACATCAGCATGCTCTACAGGGACGCCTTGGCGCATCTCCGCCCATCATTTGGCCTCACCACCCCGGCGGCCGATCGTAAGCGTGAGCTTGGCTCATCGCCAAGCAGACACTGCCTTGAAAGCTCAGTGGGCTGGTTATCAGCTAAAGCGGGGGGCCGCTAAACCACTGCTTGAAGTGGAGTTGGAGCCGGGTCAAGCCGTTCGCGCTGCCATGCTGGCCATCCACCCTTTTACAGTGGAGGCTCCTTTGCCCGATCCAGCCCGTCAAGCTCTGAACAATCTAGCGCGCCCTGCCTCTGTGGTTGTGCAGGAGCGCCATCAGCTGCTGGCCTACTGGGAACATCGTGCGCGTGCTCTGCTCCCTCGGTCTGTGGCTTTGATCCGCCAACAGCCTGATCCAGCTCTGCGTAAGTTGCTCCTTGGCGTGGACGATGGTAGCGAGCCTGTTCTAGGCCAAGTTTGCCATGTCGAGCTCTATGCCGAGATGCTCCAAGCATGCAATTGTGTTGATCAAGATCTTCCCGCTTTTCTGCTGCACGGTTTCCCCATTGTCGGGCCGATCGCTCCGACTGGTCGCTGGCCTCCCTACACGAAGACGCAGAAAGCTCTCCCGGTACAAGATGCATTGAAGCGGGCCTGGGCTCTGCGAAGAAAGATTATTTCTCGTGTTGACGGAGTGCCAGTGTCAGAAAATTTGAGAAAAATTTGGGAAGCTTCGATCGAAGATGCGGCAGAGGGTTCTTGCTTAGGTCCTTTTTCTGAAGAAGCTCAAGTGTCAGAAGTGCTGGACTGTGAGGATTGGATCCCAACGCAGCGCTTTGAGGTGGTGCAGAAGAACAAAGTTCGTGGTTGCGACAGCGCTACGACAAACATGATCAACCAAATCACAGTGATCACTGAGAAGCTCCAACTGCCATCAACGGATTCAAATGTGGCGGCGCTCAGACAATTGCGCTCCTTGAAACCAGATGATGATCTGGTTGGGTGGGTGCTTGATGAGCGCAAGGCCTACAGACAATCAGTTCGGCCTGATCAAAGAAAGTTCTCGGTGATCTGCCTGAAGAACCCTGAATCCGGTGTCCCAAACTTTTTCATTATGGTCGGACACTCTTTTGGTTTGGTCTCAGCGGTTTACAACTACAACCGCCGTTCGGCAGCCATCAATGAGTTTCTGGTCTCGATCTTTGGATTGGTAGCGTTCAGCTTCTATGACGATAAGTACGGCTTTGAGCCAGCTGGAACTGCACCCTCCGCTCGTGAAGTAGCAGAGTGCGTTCACTTCTGGCTCGGCGCAAAGTTTGATCAGAAAAAGCTCCAGTTGTCGTCCACTCCCACTATACTGGGTGTGACCTACAACCTTGAGAAGCTCCAGCTCGAGATCAAGTCCGATCGCAAAGATGAAATTGCCAGTGAGATCGACTCCATTCTGAAGTCGGGTCTGCTCGACCCGGGCCCAGCGGGTAAGCTGAAAGGAAAGCTTATGTTTGGGGCTTCTCAGCTCTGGGGCAAAGTTGGAAGGGCTTTTCTGCGAGTGATCTCTGAAAGACAGTATCTCAGGTTCCCCATCAAGAACGAGTTTGCTCTGGATGCCCCGCTGCAAGAAGCGCTCTTGCAGTGGAAAAAGTTGGTCATTGCAGGTCCTCCTCGCCCGATCGATCTGATTTGCTCAAAGCCGGCTGATGCGGTCATTTTCACTGATGGTTTTACGCCGGACCCTAGATCAAGTGAGAAGCTGCCCGATCGCGTAGGAGCCGTCATTTTTGATCGTAGGCGTAGGACTCCTGTTCAGTTTACTGCTGTCATCCCAGAGTCCGTGAAGAGACGCTGGCTCCAGCGAACAACTCAAATTGTTCCTGTTGAAATGATGGCTGCAGTTCTTGCGTTGGAAACTTTTGCTGATCAGATCAGAGGTGCAGATGTGATCTTATTAATCGACTCAGAGGCCGTCGAAGGCGCCTTGGTCAAAGGCTACTCTAGTCGAGAAGACCTCTGCCAGGTGATCTCTATATTTTGGGATCTTGCTTTTCAATTAAGGGTTCGCGTTTTTATCGACCGAGTTTCTACAGATGCTAATCCAGCGGACATGCCTTCAAGAAATAGGCTCCATGTAGGGGAGGCGGTAGGATGGCGTACTGTTCAGGCATCTTGGCCGTCTTGCTTTTCAATGGATGGCTGAGAGGGCCTGGGTCTGTGATTGTGCCAGCTTTTGATCTCTTACCTTCGCTGGGACATGGTCTGTGAAAGGCTAGCGTTTGAGCTGTTAGGTTTGATGATCCTTTTTCATTTACAGATCACTTATTTGATCTGGTGTGTTTGGCACAGTTACTTCGCCTGAGTCTGAATTTTGCTCAGAGATTTCATTTCTCGTCCATTCAGATCTACTGCTCACCCCATGCCACGAGCAGTCTGCTCAAAAAAGGTGTGCGTTGCATCAGAGAGCTGCTTTGGCATGTTTATCTTGATCCATCAATTAGTTGCTTATTCTTTTAAGATTTGTTTTGATCAGTTGACGTGTGAGAATGAAAGTGCTTGATCAAGCACGCCCAACTGCAGTGAGACGTTGACATATCATCGGTGAGGTAGGTTTGGGATAGGTCGAGGTCTCTAGGCAGTTGTTCATTCACACTCGTTTCTTTTTAACATGTTGTTCAACATGTCATTCCATTTGTGATCACTGAGGAATGCTCTTTGCCATTTTGGCCTCAAAGATCAAAGCAGTGATCACTTCCAGGTCGAAACACCCTGCCCGCCCACCCTGTTTCGACAGGGTGGGTGGATCCTTGGCTCCACCCACTTGCTTGTGTATGACTGGAAGCTCTTGGACGGGGTCTGTGATTGTGCCAGCTTTTGATCTCTTACCTTCGCTGGGACATGGTCTGTGAAAGGCTAGCGTTTGAGCTGTTAGGTTTGATGATCCTTTTTCATTTACAGATCACTTATTTGATCTGGTGTGTTTGGCACAGTTACTTCGCCTGAGTCTGAATTTTGCTCAGAGATTTCATTTCTCGTCCATTCAGATCTACTGCTCACCCCATGCCACGAGCAGTCTGCTCAAAAAAGGTGCGCGTTGCATCAGAGAGCTGCTTTGGCATGTTTATCTTGATCCATCAATTAGTTGCTTATTCTTTTAAGATTTGTTTTGATCAGTTGACGTGTGAGAATGAAAGTGCTTGATCAAGCACGCCCAACTGCAGTGAGACATATATATATATATCATAAATAATTATATCTATATATATGTATATATATATATATATACATACAGTATATGAATTGCATTTGAACCAATGAATTAAGCAACTCGAGCAGTGGATCTAATTCAGGGAACAATCAGAGCGCCTTTGCACGGCGAGGCGTTGGCTGCCAGCTGTTCAAAGGCTTTGAGAGAGAGCTCAGTCCAGCCCCCTCCTTGGCAGAAGATTTTGGAATGTGGTGTTTCATACTGCTTCAGTTTATGGATGATTGGGGGAATTGGCAATGATGGTTTGTTAGTCTTTGATTTCTGAAAGGATGGCGGATTGAGAAACACCTGAGAGTTTCAACAGCCAAAACAAGACCAAACTGAGGATACAAGCAATGTCGGAACATCATTCAAAGCGGGTAGCGGCAGGTAGCGCTGAGGAGAACGTGTTGTTTTTCCGTTCCGAGGCTTGTAGAGTTCGAGCAAGACAGCGCGGTTTTGCATCAGGAGCCAAGTATCTTGAATTGAGTGTAAGCAAATATGTTGGGTTGCTGCACATCTTACAACTATACTGTCTGGTAATCAAACACGGCAATGGAACATCCACCATTTATCGTTGATTTTGCCAGTTATAAACCTCCATGGCTAGGCCACAATTTCCCAATCATAATCCCAGGAGTTGGAGGAAGATGTTGGTTTTCCAGTCGCCGAAGAGATGCAGGACCGTGCCTGAAATTGAAGGGTTTCGGTTGGCCAACTTCTGGCTGCAAGGGTTCTGGTTACTGAAAGTTGGTGTGTTACTAATTCGGGGTCGGGGATGGTTGGGGAGCCTTTAAACCCAGTACAATCTGCAGCAAGCACTGTGCGCCAGAGAATTATTCCAGTTTCAGAGGAAGTTCCGGGCAATTCTGAAACCAGAGCCAGGTCATGCGTTTTTTTCGGCAGTGTTTTTCCAGTTTGCCTGGCTCGGAAATTCAAAGGTTGCAAACCCACCAAAGATGGAAACCTCCATAGGCATGCTGTTGACTCTGGACCCCAGAAGCCCCAAAAGAGGCAAGTCAACAAAGTGCCCTTTGCTTGAGAGATTTGGGTATGTGTCAAAACATGTCAAAACTATCATCCCCTTTGAGATTCTGATTGTGCAAATCACCAATTTTGTGGGTCCATTGGTACCCCTGTTTTGACCCACACCACCATGTGGGTACACACATACATCCAACAATTATGGGGCTTGTATCAAAATGATTCTCAAAACGGAGGACACTTCGCATTTTATAATTTTCTATGGCCATTAAAAAGTGCTGGGTGGGTTAGGGGTGGTGCTCCGTACTTTTCTGTTTCGGCGCTGCCCGGGGCAAACGCGAAAACTCCAAAAGTCGAAGCAGTGGATTCTCAGGGGCGGAGCGAAAAGTAGAAAAGCCGAAAAGTGGAAAACCGGCCACTTTGCCCGGAGTGAAAAATGATGAAAGGAATGATGAGCAGCGGATTCCAATCAAAATTCAGCTTAGCTTGAGTTTAGCGGAAGGTGGCTGGCTCAGCTTAGCTAGAATTTAGTTGATTTTTAAATCCGGGCATTTATTTTGAATTTAGTTTCTGACATTGGGGTCCTAGGTTTCCTTCCTAAAAATGTAAACATGATTCTGGCCAACAAACACTTGAAGAAGTGTTGCAGACATCCCCGGAATCGAATTTTGCGGAGCACCTGTGCCTCATTGTCTGAGAAGATGCAGGCATCCGCATTTTTTGGATTGTTTCTAGAGATTGCAATCTATAGCAAATCGAGGATGATGACAGATCTTTCTTGGTAGCTATACTCTTTACGACGATCGTAGAGAAGGGGCAAGGGAGGAGAACACAAAGGCCATAAAATCCAACTACTCATAGATGAGACATGAAGGAAAACTAGAACGTCCACATGTTTTGCGGAAAACGCGACGAGTTCAAACGCGGCCGAAGAACAATCGAAAAGTCGAAAAACGGCCCGGTGCGCGAAAAGTCGAAAACCGCGAAAAACAAACAAATCGAAAAGGATCGTGTTTCTACTTTTTGATACTTTTTTGTTGTTTTTGATGTTTTTTTGTCCTCACTTTTATCGTTTTTCTATCTGTTTGCGAAAAACGAAAGGCAAAAAAACGCAAAACATTGTTTTTCTACCTTTTGGGTTTTTGATGTTTCTCGTTTTTCTCGGTTTTCTTTTTGATTTTTCTCGACCCAAAACGTGCACAGACAAGAAGATACCAAACGTCACCTCGAACCGACTTAGAAAAAATGGGAACCTTGATTTTTTTTTTCTAAACCATGAGGTTTTTTGGTGTTCCAAATGCTGAAGCAATCCGATCAGGAGCGAGAAGAGCAACTCATTCAGCAGATGAAGGACATTTTGGAGGCGGCCATGGTGCCAATAGTGCAACCTTGGAAGGCAGAAAATCAGTTGAATTACAGTATGTTACATTCAATATCCAAAAAATAACATCCATGAACATCCCACAAAGCCCCCCATGAACATCCGTGAGTATCCATGAACATCTCATGAATATTCCATGAATATCCTACGCCATATCCTACGGTCCCAACCTTTGAGGCGAACTCCGATTCAGTCGCGGAAGATGCGTTGGAGGAATCAAAGAGGCAGAAGGCACAACTCGAGGCCGAGAAACCTGGCATCAACAAACCTGGCATTCTCCGAGTGACCCATGAAATGCTATGAAAGAGTCACCATCTCTGTACACAATGAATTCTACCTGGTGGATTTTCAACCTTTAATTACCATGACGCAGACTGCCGCAGGAAGTAGTGGCCACCATCAGGGCACAGCTTGGGATCCTCGAGAATTGCGAGGAACTGCAAGAGTGACATCCCTAGTGCCTGGAGGACCAACTTACGACTTGGCTTCGATGTCTAGCAACTTGGCAATCTCTATACAGAGATTGCAATGACCTCCCAACAATTAGTGGAACCTGTGGAACCCCAACAATTTTCTGAAGGATGGTTTCTCATTGTTCTCTGTTGCGGTTCTATTTCAGAACATCCCTTCGTCACATGGGCTGCCACCATAGAGCCCTCCTGGGCATCAGAATAAACCGCGCATTTGTTGCAAGGTCCGCCTTCCAGTTGCGCGATGAGCTCAAGTCCTTGTCGCTGGCGCAGGAGGGGCAATAGCGCAGGTGAAAAAATGAAGAGTTGGGATGGCGAGGAATGGTGTTTTTTCTGGTAGATTCCCCAATTTCAGACCCAAATGATCCTAAAATATCCTAAATGTGTATCACTGTGTATCTGTATCACTCTATCCACCATTTTTGCATAGTCCTAGACTGGAATATCCAGCAGGATCTCTTGGGATGGCGCCATTTTGTATCTGCGCCATTGGGGATGGGGATGGCCATGGACATTTTGCCACAGATAATTCTCGTTGAAGAAACATTTTTGTCTTAGGCTTGTGGCCAAATCTTTTTTGGTTCGGAAATTGAGGTTTAAATTGGCCGGTGATCCATGTGAGAACTCTCTGAGTTCACACTGATCACACTGTGTGCTGAGTGATGGCCCCTCGCAACTCGCTTGAAAAAGTACTTCGGTAATAGATGGACTTGAGAGAGAATCGCCATCAAACCTTCTGGGATACCAGGAGTCTTTGGTACAAACCCGCGACAAACTCGAAGATGAGGCGGCTCCTGACTTGACTCCCTTGAAGGGTGGGACCACAGGGATCATGGTCATTGATCAAAACTTTTGGAAGTCTTCTCACAGAGTTGACAAACATATAGTAAGATCATGTAAGATCAGTAAGTGCTTCGTTTCATACTTGCATCATCTTGCATCAAGTTTGGAGTTGCCTTTTTGCGGAAACTAGGAAGCAATGTTCTTTCAAGGTGAGGATTTGCATGGCAGTTTCCCTCCATCAGGCGTGCTCTGAAGAAAAACACGATCAATGCTTTAAGCACCCAGTGGATTTCAATGCCTTGCCAGATCATGCAAGACAACAGCTTTCGTTACGCAGAGGCACAGCTAAGTGCAACATACAGGCATACAATGGCATACAGGCATAGTGATCTTTTATTGTGTTGCACGTGCTCGATATGGTCAGAATATGCCAGAATTCCATCCAAGCTGAGGTCCCTATAAAAATCAGTGATAGCATCGAAGCATGTGCATGTCCCAAGGGAATAAGTAGGATTGGCATGGCACCATGGTGGCCCAGTGCCAAGTTTGCTGCGACATTGCAGGCCAAAGTCCAAGAGCAGACTGCGCAGGCCCAGCTGGGATCCAGCACTTCAAACGGGTTCATGTCGGGTCCATGTCATGTTTGATCCTTTGACTTCGGATCTGACATGGCAGTCTGAGGCTCTGGCACTCAACAATACCATGCGGACTGTTTGTTTCACCTCAAGATAGAAGATGCTATCCAATGCATGCAGCAATCTTCGGAGCTCAGAAATGTGTCTCCCCTTGTTCGTTCTGAGTGTATCCAAACAGTCGTGTACCGTGGCACAGTTCATTCACCAACCTGCCGCGAAAGGAAATGGTGGTGGTGAAGCAACTCAAGTCTTGGCCCTGGAGAAGATTCATGAATCACAAGGAAAAATTAAGAGCACTTGATTCAAGCCATTTCCTTGCAGACATCTAATAATAATCTAATCATATCTAATCCCTCTTCCCAGAACTCGACCTTCAGTCAGTATGTACTCGGGTCACAGGTGCGCTGTTCCACTTTCCTTTCCCCTATCCTGGCTGCAGATTCATGTAAAAAGTAGTTCAAGCAAGACGTCGGTGGTAGTTTTTGCTAGCCTGCAGCCACAAGCATCCATAGGCTAGAGGGAAAAGATAGGAAAATTATGCTTATCATTACTTGTCATCGTTCGGCATTGTTTAAAGTCTGATCGCTTACTCAGGAGTTTAAAATTTAGTAAAATTTATGAAGCCACACTCAAGCCTGATTTACCCTCTGCATCCCTCTGCAAAATCAGCGGATTCTGCTGGATCCATGGCTCCACAGGCTACAAATGCTCCAATTCAGTGCCGGCATTGCCAAGGAGAGCACGACCGAGGATACCGTTCTTTGGGAGCAGGACCGAGCCCTGCAAGTGTCGAAGCATGATCCACGGAAAGTGCTTTGACGATGGGAAAGCTGCACGGCGTGCAGAAAAGCAGAGCTTGAAGGTTGCGAGAAATGTGGAGCTCGCTATGACTTCTCAGACTTGGTGACCAAAGAGTTTCTCATCAATCACTACTTATGGAATGGATTACTTATGGATATTCTTTGTCGGCTTTCCCCCAGCCAGCTTGTATGGCCTGCATCGCCAATATCAAGAGGCACAGGCGCGCGGGGGGATTGACTGGCCCATGTGGCAGAAAGCCTACCAGCAAGCGCCTTTGACGCGCTCCTGTTTTTATGTCGGCATTTTCGTTGCATGGGTGCACTGGATGCACGGCGGATGGACAGGCAAGAAGGACCCAACAAAAGACGAATGAGACACCTTTCACAAAGGAGGGGCCGGTGAGTGCTCTGTCAACCGTTGATCGCCAAGACTTTTTGCTTGCAAGGCACCATGCAAAGCACATGAGGGTCCCTGCAAACTGCTTTGAATACCGCTCTGAATCCTTTGAGAAGGATCGAAAAGAAAATCCTGGGCTGTGCTGCAAATTGATTTGCAGCCTCTGCAAAACATCTCTTCCATTTGTCCATGATTTACCAAATTGAAAATGGTGACTTTCCATTGCCATGTTCATGTATGAGAGGGGAGGTTGGTTTTACTATTTTTAGTTCCACGGCTTTTACAACAGTTCTTGGCCCAACCAGTCAGAAGTGGATTTGAGCTGACCCCCTAGTGAAGAGTTTAAACCCTTGTGAATGAACCAAACAAACCAATATTCTCCCAATCAACAACTGGCGTTCCAGCCCATCACTCTTAGGGCTCGAGACCCCAAGTGCAGAGGTCAGAGCTGCAGCTTGCTGAAAAGGTGAGGCAAAATGGCAACCTGGGTGGCGTTGTCGTAAAAACAGAGGGATTTACCAGCCCTTTGGGGTCACAATTCTTAATGGTTAAGGGATGTCAAGGGGTATTATACCCAAGTTTTATCCCAAATGGTGAATGCTGCTGGATATGGCCCTTGTCAGCAGGTTCCGTTTGAGGTTTTGGCGGCTGTGTACAGCGGGACCGTTGGATCAGAACCGATAAAGCATGTTCCATCATTTTCCTGCCTACCCTGGGGTTCTTAAGTGCTATAGGCGGAAAAATATGGGAATTGTGAACGAGGGTACCCTCAAGTTCTTAAGGAATTTCTTAATTTATTCCGGGTAAAAGTAAAGTAACATATTGATGTTTTGAAAAACATGTGTACAGAAATGTTTTCTTTATAAAATTACTCACCATTTCTCATTTCTTCGTTATGTCCCGTTGTTCAGAGCCTAAAAACGGTCCCTTCCCGCAACGGCTCCACCAGGTCCACCGGTTTCCCTGGGTGAAATCCAACAATCCAGTGGTTTCACTGTACCCCCAAAGTTGGCTGAATATGGGGAAAGATGATATGATCCATGACTGGATTTATATAGGGGTAACCATGGGTAACCATGGGTAACCATGGGTAACCATGGGTAACCTATGTTTGGGGACAAACACTTATTCTTGTTGCTGCATTTGAGGAGGCGGAGGATGCATCAGTTCAGCACCATTCCCTCCAAACTGTCCAATGTGATTTTTTGTCCGTGTTTTCCTGAGGCCCTCAACTCATTCTAGAACGCAATCTTGACCTGCCAGATTTGCCAGAGATGTAGACACTGTTTCTAGGTGTTTCATGATTTTCCTATTTTTCATGTCTATTTTTCATGTCAATCTAGTCCGAATTATCTCAGGGTTACGGCTTGAGCTCTCGAGGTTTTGCTGGATGACCTCTCTGCCAAACTTGCAGCTCGCGAGAGACGGGCAGGGGACAGAGATTTACCAGATGAGGGCTGGGATGATTGTCGTGATCCTGGGAGAAACTGTGCAAAAATGTGCAAAATGCATATAAAATGCATATATATATATATATTTGTTATTATTCTATATTATTCTATATTATTATATTAATATTATATTATATATATATTAATTTATATTATATATTAATTTATATTATATATTATGTATCTTATGTATATTGTTATATATTGTTATTATTATTATCATTATTATTATATATATATATATATTATATTATATATTATTTTTTATATATTAATTTATATTATATAGTATATATTATTATAGAGTATTGTATCTTATTATATATTACTATATTTTATTATATATTATTATATATTATTATATATTATTATATATTTTTATATATTATTATGTATTGTTATATATTATTATGTATTATCATGTATTATTATGTATTATTATGTATTATTATGTATTGTTATGTATTATTATGTATTATTATGTATTGTTATATATTATTATGTATTATCATGTATTATTATGTATTATTATGTATTGTTATGTATTATTATGTATTATTATGTATTATTGTATATATATATATATTATTTTACTATATATTTTATGATTTTGTATGATATATTATATTAATTTATAATATATATTATAATAATTTATTTATATATTATATATTATTTAGTATTTAGTATATATTATATATATTATATATTAAACATTATATATTATATTTTTATTATATTATATACTATATAATATGTTTTAAATTATATTATATGCTATATAATTTATAATATATTATATAATATTTTAATATATAATATATTATATAATATTATATATTATATAATATTATAATATTATATATTATATAGTATATAGTATATATTATATATTGTATTATATATTATATATATATATATTATATTATATATAATATATATGTATGTATTCAACATATTATACATATACACATACATATATTTGCTAGCTTAATCAGATCTCGTGGATTCAAGAAGACGTCTTTTGTTCCATGGTTCGACAATTTCTACAGTTCTACCGTTCTACGCTCTGCCAAGTTTACCCAATTTCCTGGTACCCAGGTGCAACTTTTGGCAGAGCAGTTTCGACGTCGGAGATCTTGTCAGGACAGGGCAAGACCTGCTCTGTTTTTTGGACCGATGGGCACTTTCCAGCTGTATGTTATCATCCCAACCTGCCCAGCGCATCTGAGCGCAATGAAAACCGTATTCGTATCATTTTACATCATGTTCATTCATGCTCTATCATATTTCTATTGTTCTATCCAAATTTCTATCCTTTTGTTTGTAGGACCCTGCCATTCTATGATTCCCCTGAATATTAAAAGGTGCTTGACAATTTCCGCTGGGTTGTACCTGGTTTCTCAGGCCGAGCCGATGCGCAAGCTGATCAGAAAAGATGAAGCAGATGGGTTTGTAGCCACTAAAACTGGGAAACGATGGTGAAAGAACGGGGAAATGATGGGAAAATGATGATCTTAAAATATCTTAGCCATGTTTTTAGCAAGTACGCCAATCGGGAAAATGCTGTTTGCTACAGGGGGAACCAATCGGTCCCGGGGTGTCCCAATCTCACAAATATTGAGCCCACAGCCATACTTTATAAGTTCCACCTCGTGCTTCTTCCCGTGCCATTTGTTTGCGCAGCTGCCACCATTTTCAGCTTCACAGCGCAGCAGACATGAAAATCATTGTAGATCCAGCTCTTCCACACTGATTTTCTGTCTCATCCCACTTTCAGATGAGAAAGCATGTCAAGTACGATCAGATATTTTTTTGCGGTTTGAGGGTGAATAGTTTCATCATGTTTCATCCCATAGGAACAGCATAGCAGCAGCAGTCGAACAAGGGCCTCTGGTACCACGTACATCATGAGCCCAGCCAGATGGGCCCGGTGCGTGAACTCCAGGTATGGAGGAAGAGGTGGGCTGACCATGTGGGTTATGTGCCAACGGTTGACTAACGTAGCCAAAAAGGATGAAAGAGGCAGGAGTTGTTGTCACATCGGAACCGGGTGGATGTGATATGTTTCTGAAAGTTCAGCTGAGTCAAATGCCCACCATGTTGCGCTTGAAGTGGTCAATTTCCTCCGACTCATTGTAGTGGTACCGATGGTTGAGGTGAATATTACGTACCTCGTGTTTGGAGAAACCCAGATCAGATCGTTTCAAAGAGGCCTTTGACGTCGACGAAGAAGCAGGCTTTACTAGCGACGGGGAGACTTGGCCGTCTTCACAGTATGAGGCCTTCAAATCAAAGCCCTGGTACTCTGGTGAACCCGAAAATAGCTAGTATAGCTGGATGTTCATCCCCAAAAAGTGGGGGAATAGGTATTGATTCACGGCCATTGGCAGCTGATCGACAGCGCCAAGGATCGACAGCGCTCATTGAAGGAACAAGTCCAATCGTCCAGAGCTTAGACCCGCAAAGGCGTGACCACATCCACCATTCAAAACGGTCCCTCAACGGTCCTTCCCTATCTTCCTTTGCTTGCATATTAAGTGTGGGCTTGAAATCTGTTCAAATTCTGTTTGGCCATATTGGATCATGGAATATTGGATCATTACAATAATATAATAGAATCTAATATACCATTCATTATATTCAATATATTTAATATACCATTTTGATCCATTGTGGATCATTTTGGTATATTGGAGGCCTCAAGGCTCGACATGTTCCGAATGGAAACAGCTGGATGCCAAGGCCTCGCCAGAGTGAGTCCTTAAGTGCCCGAAGGGCTGGGGAGTCATGTGCAGAAGCCCAGCTGTACCAAAAGTGTTGGGCAGGTGATCACGGAAAATCGCTTCAGTAAGTTTAGCATACTTTAGATTACTGCCAAGTCTTGAAGAAGAAGACTTGGCTGTGTCATGATGTGAACATTGGGTTACCATGGGGTTACCCGAAATTCCGATGGATTATCATTGCTTTCCCCTAAATAGATTAAATAGGCATTAGGGGGGTATGCCCCAATTTCAGAGACACCCCCACTTGTGGTGCAAAATGCAGAGAGCAACATAGTTGGGGAAGGGAACTCAAAGATCCGTAGCAAAAAAAAGACACATTTTCAGCACCAGAGCCATTTTCAGCCTGCTGATTATTGGAAACATGTCTCTGGCAATAATCGTTTTGTGGTCGGAGCATCCCCAGTCGTCTTAGCATAATTCCCATTACCAAAACCGTGAAATGACATCGTCGCCGGGTTGTCCCCCGTAGTGATTTGACCGTGCTGGAATGAGCATCAAAATAGCAACTCCAAGTGTCTTTTTCATGATCTAAAATATCTAGAATGGACAAATCTATTAGAACATGTATTCATATATATATAATTATAATTAATTATATATTCATATTATCTAAAATTGGACTATTGGAAGATATCTAAAATACATCAAAATACTAGAATATGTTTCCCAATAGACATATGTTTTTTGTATGGGTATCGCCATGGCGCACGAGGTGAGGCAACTGGATCCACAAATATCACTGTTGTGGAGGGCTCAGGATATGACCGTTGTCAGATCCTATTGAGATACGAATTCCGTTGTATGTCAAAAACTGCTTGGTGGACACTTTTAACATCTTTTAACATATTTTAAGCATGTTTGAAATGTAGCTGTTTCAAATGTTGGCAAACAGCATGTGGATTGAGGTTCAGCAACGAATTCTGACAAAGATGCCCAGTGGCATTAGCCTCAGTCACTGAGTCATGCCATGGCAGCCAGCATAGCCGCAGCCATGGCCACAGGCGACGTCCGGGAAGACCGTTGGCTGCAGCAAGGTTCGCCCAGCCCTTTTTGAGAAGGGGTCCACTTGGCCAGATGTGATTTTGTCTCAATTCATCAGTGTAACTATCACAAGTTTTGCATTGATTATGTTTGACCCAAGATGATCCAAGTACTGTATATCTCCGTGGTCTAGTGCTGTGATTTTTGCATATTTTTGCGCACAAGCCAGGGTTAAACATAGCAAATCCCACATCTGCCGCAGGTTCGTTGCAGAAAATGTTCTCACCAGCTTTCTCAAGGCCGTTGTGGGCATGGCTCAAGGGTATCCACAGGACTGTCCCCTGTTGACCAGAAAATACTGAAAGATCTCGGTCAGTGGACCTGTTGAAAGGGGGAGCAATCTGGTGTTTTTTCTTAATGTTCCAATCTAGAAAGCAACTTGCACTGCACGAATTGAAGCAAGTAAACTTGGACTTCAGGATATGAACGCATTGAAAGCACCTATGAAACGCTGAAATCGCTGAATGGTGTGCTTCCCCAAAGCTCTTTTTCTCTGTCAAGGCGAGGTGCTGAAGGCTGGGACCTTAGTGGGCTCACATGAGCACTTGGGCACAATGAAATGTCTTGGAAGGTGCATGGCGGAGCACTACTCATAATAAATATACTGTATAGTTACATGTACTGGTACTGAATGTATACACCTTCTATAACGTGCCAGTTGCCCCTAGGCCCTAGCACTTAGCATGGGCTTTCCTCTTCCATTTGAATCAGGGCAACCCTCCTGCTGATATATTCAGGTCAGCTCAACATCTGTATAGAGCTGTGACTCAGTTTCGGTGTATACGCATGGTTGAGGCAGGCTTCTACCTGATAGAGCGTGCGAACTCGCCGTTGTCACTCCCTGTGGCGCCTGTGCACCTTTTTTGTCAACCGGTAGGGTATCAGCTCGCCACATGATCATGAACTACCTTGCAGAGCGCAAGCTGAGGGGAGATGAGCCAAAAGGCAAAAAACGGTTGTGCTTCTTTATAGAACCCGTTGTTTTGGCAGATGGCACTGTGAGTTGTTGCAGTTCAAGAAAAATGCGAAAGAAAACTCCAAACAAATTCTTTTGAAAGTGGGGGAGCAGAAAGCATCGCAAAACCTTGCTGCGTATTTCTTCAAAAAGTACATAGATAATACATAGACTGCTGTATTTCAATGTATTGCAATTATTGCACCCTGTGCATGCAAGAGTTGTGTCATTTGCAGTAATTATTCTCTGACCGTTCCCCTCGCTTGATGGGTTTCGAAGTTTATTGCTCCAACATGATATTCAACACTTGCCCAACTCATTCAAAGGCCCCCTGGCCCTATTCAAAGGGATGCTATTCAGCTTTGCAAAGGTCAGAGGCAATTTGGCTACGAACAAGCAACAAAATGCATTGAGGTAGCCCGAAATGGAAAATATTGGTCATATTTTAATTTAAAATTTAAAAAAATAGAAAAAAATAGAAAAAAATAAAAAAAAATAAAAAAACATTTTTTTTTTTGCCGATTTTTTGCTTCCAATACTACTTTTAGAAGGGGGCAGGGCACCCTTCTGCGCAACGACCTTGTCCCACACCTCACAACGAAGAAAAAATATTTTTTCATAGGAAAAAATATATGTTCATAGGGGAAAAAAAAAATCATAGGAAAAAATATTTTTTCATAGAAAAAAATGGGCCCAATTCCATCGATTTTAAAATATCATAAAACAAGATAAATTAAGATAATTTAGCAAAAAAGACTCTGATTAGCACCCCTTTGAATAGAGCCCCAGAGATGGAGAAAGACCAACCACGCCCAAAAAAACGACGCGCAAATGCTCGCATATACACACACATGGCTGTGCGTATACAATATAGTATAATACATATACGTACAGTCATATACATATATTTATATAATCATATTTAAGTTTTATCTACTACCAGCCTGACCAGCACAGGTTTTTTCTTGAGCTAGATCCAGATCCATCCATAAAATCCAAACTGCCCAAAGATCACTCTGCTGTTGCCTGTTCCTGTGACGACGGTTGGTGTTCACCTGGGTTTTGACCCCGATATCCATTGAAATGGCACCTTCTATTCTTTGAATCGAAACCCGAAGTTGGTTTTTTAAAGGTTCACAGCTTTGGACCTTCAAGCACGGCAAGTCGCCAGTGATGATGTTGATGTTGCGCCAGAGCCGAGGCCAAGCAGGGAAAGTGGTATCTTCTTCGTCGCCCACTGGAAGTGCCTCGGCAACGGCGAGATCACCGCCCCAGCTGGCAAAATTGGAAGTGCACGAAGTTCATCCATGTTCAGTTCAAACCCAGGTTCAAAGTCAGGGAAGATCTCAGAGCAGGTTGGGAGTCCTGCGTTCCGTGAATTTCGGACTGCAACGCAGTCCTGCAGACAAACTATAATGCACTCGTAAAACAGAACAAAACAGACATGTATTAATTGGACAGTATGAGCACAATATAATATGTAACGATATGGTATGTCCATGTTCCAAGCATTGCTTTTTTTCGCTTGTAACGTTCACATTTTGCTGCATGGCCCTTCTCCAATCCGCGGAAGGCGGCGAAATTCCCGCCAGCGGGCATCTCAGACCCCTGGGATACTGGCAGTGAATTGTGACAGAGGACTTTCCTGACAGACCTTACTTGTAAGATGACTTCTGGATCATGTCCACGACAGCGTTTCCAGGCTGGAACGACAACTCCGAAGGACAGCCGACATGCTTGGCACATGTTGAGCTTTGCGTCGAGCGTGCTGATTTGTCCACTGGCTACAAGATTAGTTAGGAATAGTTGGGAATTGTTACACAAATGGTGGGTTCTTTTACTCGTTCACCTTGTGATGTAGTCAGGTGAATGTTGCTGGAAAACGGGCCAGGAAATCGAGGAGGCGGATTTGCTTTTTGTCCCAGATGACGATCAGGACTGATTTGCTCAGAATTTTCCAGCTGTGAAACGGTCGAACAAGTTCCATTGCCGAGGAGTGGCAGCGTCCTCGACGGCCACCTGGTTCGGGTGAAGGACCTTCAAAGCAGCTGCAGGGGCTCACAGGAAGCGTTCATTCTCTTGGGCAAACCTGGGGACCTGTGGATTTTTCTAGATTCTGGATTTTGTTGATGGATGGTTTATTGATCGTCTATGCATTATTTTATGGATTGTTCATAGATCATTTATGGATGTTCAATGTTTTTTCCGCGTTTATTTGCTTAATGATTGGCGTTTCAGCAACAAAAGAGTGTATACATCACCAGCCAAAGTGGAGATTTGCTGATGAATCATAAGGATTCCGCCAATGAAACATGGATTTGGGCTGGCATAAATTGTATCAAAATGTGGGATTTGGCTGATCAAAATGAGTGTAAGAAAAGACTGTGAGAAAGACATGGTGGGAATACAAGTACCACATTAGATGGGTTTGTCTATGTTTGTTTAAACATTGGGCATAGAATGCCAATCTATAGCCATTCAAATGTGGAGCATGATGATAAACGATGGGTTGGGGACTAAGCCACCTGATCTTGAGCTATCTTGAGCCGCTTGGGAATACCAGGACTTGTAGAACGTTTGCCCAGCGGATGCGGTGCAACTAAGGACTGGGCCAATCGTCTCGGTACCAGCTCCTTCTGCAAAACCTGAGGACCTGGGCTGGAGAAATGAGAAATTGCCTGGACGGCAAGATGAATGGGTGGTATGGCATTTGTTTGGAAATACTTTGGAAATAGCTATCGCCATGCCCTTTCTGCCAGGCTTTTTGCCGTATGAAGTTTCCATAATAAATAACCATAAATCATCATAAATCATAATAAATAATCATAAATCATCATAAATCATCATAAATCATCACAAATCATCATAAATCATCATAAATCATCATAAGTCATCATAAATCACCATAAATCATCATAAGTCATAACAAATAATCATAAATCATCATAAATCATCATAAATCATCATAAATCATAATAAATAATCATAAATCATCATAAATCATAATAAATAATCATAAATCATCATGAATCATCATAAATCATCATAAATAATCATAAATCATCATAAATCATCATAAATCATCATAAATCATCATAAATCATCATAAATAATCATATAATCATTATAAATCATCATAAGTCATAGTAAATAATCATAAATCATCATAAATCATCATAAATCATCATACGTCATAATAAATAATCATAAATCATCATAAGTCATAATAAATAATCATAAATTATTATAAATCATAATAAATAATCATAAATCATCATAAATCATAATAAATAATCATAAATCATCATAAATCATAATAAATAATCATAAATCATCATGAATCATCATAAATCATCATAAATAATCATAAATCATCATAAATCATCATAAATCATCATAAATCATCATAAATAATCATTATAAATCATCATAAGTCATAGTAAATAATCATAAATCATCATAAATCATCATAAATCATCATACGTCATAATAAATAATCATAAATCATCATAAGTCATAATAAATAATCATAAATTATTATAAATCATAATAAATAATCATAAATCATCATAAATCATAATAAATAATCATAAATCATCATAAATCATAATAAATAATCATAAATCATCATAAATCATCATAAATAACCATAAATCATCATAAATCATCATAAATAATCATAAATAATCATAAATCATCATAAGTCATAATAAATAATCATAAATCATCATAAATCATCATAAATCACCATAAATCATCATAAGTCATAACAAATAATCATAAATCATCATAAATCATAACAAATAATCATAAATCATCATAAATCATCATAAATCATAATAAATAATCATAAATCATCATAAATCATAATAAATCATAATAAATAATCATAAATCATCATAAATCATAATAAATAATCATAAATCATCATGAATCATCATAAATCATCATAAATCATAATAAATAATCATACATCATCATAAATCATCATAAGTCATAATAAATAATCATAAATCATCATAAATCATCATAAATCATCACAAATCATCATAAATCATCATAAATCATCATAAGTCATAACAAATAATCATAAATCATAACAAATAATCATAAATCATCATAAATCATCATAAATCAATTGTTCAGAAGGTTCAAATTCCTCAGATATCTGAATGCGGTGCGGGGTCCAAAACTTGAAGCCAGGCCCAGCATGAGGAAGAGGAGTGGCTAGAAAGGAAGAGGTGGAGCCGGAGATTTCAGGATAATTGGAATTCAAGTTGAAAGAGTCGGAAAATATTGAGAAATATCATGAACTATCCAGAAAATTCAAAAATATCCAAGGCAGTTTTGTTGCATCACATTCACATGAGATTCTTCAACTTCACTAATTAGGCAAACCACCAGTGCGAAAGTATAAGTGTAGAACGGAGAACAGCTTGAAGTAATCATAACATATCATAACATGCATTTTTCCCTTGGATTGACTTAGACAGCATCTGAAGTGATCTGAGTTTTTGAAGTGGTGCTCAAACGGCCAGAACTTTAGCATTCTGAGCCGCGGCCAGGGTGACAGGTGTGATAGGCCGCTTGGTGCCGAGCTGAGAACTTTCCCTTCCATCGTTGGAACCGAAACATCTTTTCATAATGTCTAAAGGCAGAATGGATGATTCAACTGACATCGACCGAAACGACGAATTCTGTGTTTCTTCCAAAAACAAACATGGTCCCATTTATATAAGATGATTTTCCCATTAAAATCTCCATTTGGTGCGGGGATTGTTTGTATTTTCGTTTTTTTTTTCGGCTTTCACAACGAGGTTCAGTACCAGACAGGTGAAGTACCCGCGAAGGCGCCGTTTTGATGTTCGTCCCATGGCGAAGCATATAAACCACCTTTGAAAATGGGTGAAATTCCATGGTTCCCACCATTAACAATCCAATTGAAAACAATGGCGATTGATGGTGTGTGTTTCTCCTAAGAAAAAACACGCATACACAATAGATCGATATTTTATGATATTTTTATATTTTGAGTGGAAAACCCATAGCCATAATTGTTCATGTTGGGAGAAAGCACCTAAATCATCCTGAATATAAAAATCAGAAGTTCAACCCGCCCTCACCATGGCACGAGGACGTCCTGGGCTTGAGCCGGACATGCTCCAAACTCAACCGACTGACAGTGGTTGACCTTCCGTGAGTTTGATGATTTTGATTCAAATGATCAGCAAAAATCATCATATGAAGGATGCGAAAAGAATGTTGATGGTTTTCTTGAAGTTGCTGTCCATGTTTCTCAAACTAGGGACGCCCCCCTTCTTCATCCCCAAGCGATGATATCTCAAGATCATCTAAGATCAATACAGTTGATATAATATTATATAATAATTTTATTGTTGTTATTGCTATTGTTATTATCATAGAATATTATGTGTATATATATATATCCCAAAAATGATCACAAGAGTGATGATGACACATTATGACAATAATGACAATAATCATAAGCATGATAATCATGATAACGACCATCAAAATGCCTCCACCATTGGGTGTCAGACGGCTGGGCCCAGGTCATGGACGTCTTATGGTGACGGCTGTTCGCGGGGAGCGCTTTCAGAAATGCTGGGCATGGGATGTTGGGAAGCCACGATGGCTTTAAGATGGTTTAGGGGATTCATAATATTCATAGATTATGGATATTGGATGATATTAAGGATATTCATAGATAATGGATATTTATGGATCTTGGATGACATTGGATGACATTGGATCATATCGATATTGGATGATGTTGGAAGATATTATCTTGGATGGCACCGCCAGGTTTTTTGAACTTGAGAAAACATACCTCAATTGGTTGAAAAAAAATGTAGCCTCAGATGTTGGCTCGTATGTGACAGATCCATTTCTGGCGACCCTCATGATGAGAATGTTGGAGATACAACAGGATGGTGCCCCCCAATTATGTGTGTTGGTTTATAAACCATTATAAAGCCCATTAACCATGATTATAATGATACTCATTATTGTGTTTTTTTGTCTTTTTAACATTACTAATTACTACCGACCATTAAGTATAGTTATATATATATATCATTTATATCCATGTTACTGGTATGATACACAGTTACTGTTATTCATTTATTAACTATTATTAACATTTATTATACAGTAGCTAACATGATAACAAGTATAACTGGTATAGATATTAACCATTTATTAACTATGTGTTTAACAGTTATATCTACCATGCTCCATGTCACCGCCCTGCCCAATTCTCCAGGATGGTCCGGCGGCCCGGGCTGGCGTCATCGCAGGCGACCAGTTGATCTCCATTGATGGCGTGAAGCCCGGAGCCGGTATAACCGCTGGATGGTATACCCTCTGGTAATTTAACATAGCTATTGAACATGGCCATTTATAGTTGATTTTCCCATTAAAAATGGTGATTTCCAATAGCTATGTTAGTTTACCAGAGGGTAACCATGGTATAACCAATGGATTGGTTTGAGGGAAAATCTTAACCGGAAACCATAGATTTTCCCATGAAGATCATGGGGCTTAAACCAGTAAATTTTCCCGAAAAAACCAATCCATTGATATAACGGTGTCTGAACATGTCCTGGGGATGATGGGGATGATGGGGATGATGGGGATGATGGGGATGATGGGGATGATGGGGATGGGGATATGATGGTGGTGATGAGGAATTACTGTGAGATGCGATGCTGGAGGTTTCAGTTTCAATAGGGGCATGATGTTGAAAGATGTTGAAAGATGTTGAACGATGTTGAAAGATGTTGAAATATGTTGAAAGATGTCGAAAGAGTTGAATGCAGGTAAGTATGCCAATTTCGATTGTTTTGGGGACAAGCAAACATGGTGACATATGGTGACTTTACCACGACGCCTTGTTGCTAGGATTCTGCTTTTATATCCAAGGCGAGAAGATTTGGGAGTACTACCCTGCAAAGGCACAGGGAAGCACGTTTCAGACACTGTGTCAGATTCAACTCATGATTGCTATCAAAGTGCGATTGACATGGGCACTCTTGCTGCATTGAAAGCCATGAGATCTACACAACGCGACTGAGTTTGACACTTCTTTGGCAGGCAGTCTTGAGTGGCGTTAGAGGGCCCGCAACCCTGATCTTCTTGGGTTTCTCTGGGAAACTCCAGGCGAGGACTGAAGATTGCAGACTCATGACATCTCATAACCCATGCAGATGTGAGTCCTCAGATATGGAATTTACCAAGCTGCATGACCTCTACAACATGATACAACGGTACTGGTTAATAGATTTAACATGATATAACATGTTTTAACATGATTTAACCGACTTGGCCATTATTTGGAAATACTGTGACCTCGGAGATCTCTATCATTCGCCAAAAGTGCCCATTCATGAGGCAGAAGTCCGGGTGAAGCAGCCAGTCCTGTTCTGAGCGCCAAGCCAGTTGACCTTGGAGTTGTGGCTTTGAGTAGCAATTGCGGTAGAGGGTTAATAACTTCAGGTTTTCTCATGCTTACGCTTTAGAATAAACATTAAGAAACTTTAGAAGGCTGAGGCTGGGTAGTGGATACTCCCTGAGCCCCTGGTTTGCGAAGGATGAACCGCGTCTGGGGCTACCTGCGCAAGTCAGTGTATCATCGAAGGCCTGGTAAAATCCATAGCACGGCTGACTGAAGACCATTTTTGTTCCAGCTAGGTGGCTCTTTGGTAGATGCCATGAGACTTGAAGGACTCCCGTGTAGATCAGCCATATACATATGATTATATATGATATACTGTATACACATACATATGATATTATGTATATATATATATATGTGATGTTGTATGATCTGGTATGCCTTCATGGATCCACTCATGACAAAGCTCACACAGCACTTAGTTGCCGCAGGTGTTGCAGAAGTCGAAGCGCGTCCGGAGCTGAGTTGCGCGTTCAGCGCTCGGAGCTGAGTTAGATCTGCCCGCATTTCAGGATGATGATCGCCGGAGACGCTGGGTGGAAGTATCCCTTGCATGTATTTGTCCTAGTTTTGTAAACTCGAGAGAAATGTTTTTTAGACAGTTTAAGGTGTTGTAGGAGGGGTGAGTTGGGGAAGTTACAGTAAGTTGAAGTGCAAACAGTGCAATCCATTGTGTGACATGTGTTTCTTTTCACATATGCAATGTAAGAGTTTGGTCATGCACGCGTTGCTTCCTTGTGTTGATTGGTGTTCATAGCCGAGACCGCCCTAAGAAGCCAGCGGTTACGCTCTAATGGAAATCATTTCCCTGCGAGTGGGTCAACCTTGGTAGGAGCTCAAATTCTAGTTTTTGGGTGTATATGTGCTCTCTTGTAGAACCAGTTCATTCCTCAAACAACAACCCCCGCGGCAGAAAACTGGTCTCCAGGCCCAAAAGCCTCAAGCCCCTCCATCACTGCACCTGCTTGACCCGGTGCTGCCTCGCCCTGCGGCTTTGGGAATGTTCGGAATGGTGCAAGGGTACACTTCGGGACAGGAGTTGCCTGTCACGCATTGTGAGTGGGAAACTGTAGGAAGGTCATGCTGAATGATTGGAACCTGCAAATTCAGAGACATGCTCTTGAGCACGGCATGATGTAGCATTTACAATGCATTTATCGCATTTTATAGCCATGTTTGAGTCACTCCTTTGACAGGTACAAACGCAAAAACACACCTGGGCTGGGAACATGGCTCAAGTTGGCTCAAGTTGGCTCAAGTTAGCTTGACCTAAGAATAGAGTCATACCATGCCTTGCCCGTTTCTTCCAGCAGGATTTAGATTCAAGACATCCATTACAATATACAATGATACTACAACATATTACAGCGATTAACAACGTACAACCCCAGAATACCCCAGAATTGTTCTGAGCCAAGTGTTCAAAGAAAACCATCGAAAACCCTTGGATCAGTCAGGTGTTGAGCCGGTCAACCCCATGGTCCCCAGATTTTTCCCCAGCGAACGTTGACACGAATGGCGCCTAAAAAGGTGGCCAAGAGCCTTGGACACAACAAGGATGAATGGAAAAAATGTATCCACGGTTGTCAATGATTAATGTTACATCCTATGGATAGCTATTTATAATGGATTGTTCATGAGTTAATGCGTAGCATTGCGTAGCTATTCATGTTAGAATGATAGATATACATACTGGTACTGGGGATGCCTTGCCTGGCTAGCCGGCTAGCCTGGCTTCCAAGGCGCAAGGCCAAGGCCAAGGCCGGAAGCGTCCCGCAGTTCGGGGAGTTGAGATCAAGTTCAGATGAAATGAGAGGTTAACATTTATCATCATTTATCTACATTTTACATTTTGGATTTTGGATTTTTTTTCCAGGCATTTTCTCATTCCATCTGACAGGAGAAGACAGGATATGGGTTTCCATGTAGTGACCAGCGGAATGGCGCAGGCGGGCTCCAAAAAGCGGCCACGTGAGGAAGACGAGGAGAACCGCCTGGATCTCCCAAGATACACTGAAGATTCTGACGGGGTTTATCTAACTCTACATAGGTCATATCTAGATATACCCCCACTCCATGTATATTATATATATAATATATAAATATAATCATAATAATAATAGTAATAATAATAATAGTAATAATAATTACTATTATTATATATAAATAAACACAGGTGTTTTCCCCAATCTTAATGGTATCACCACAGGGTTCTTAAGCTTGTCTGCTCAGGAGGCCCTTCCAGATCTTGGTGATGCAGCATCCAGTCACAAGGAACCATTTGCTGTTCAGCAATGGATGATGATCATAAAATATTATAAAACCCAGGTCATCATTCCACAATCGTGGGGATTATATGGCTATGGATCAATACTTATTAATACCATGTTTAGTGGGATGAACATCCATTTACCAGCTATTTTGATGTTCACCAGGGGTATAGGGTTTTGACCCATCCCCATATGATTGTTTCGAGGGGATGATAATCCATTGGATCCATTCCTCGTTATCCAAAACAGGGGATGGTGACTATCGCGGGGGATCGAAACTGCCGAGCGCAACTCCCTTCTTTTTCCTTGTGAATCTTTTGCTTTGTACAATAGTAATATATAGTAATATATATAGTATGCCATGTATGCCGCTGGTTTGAAATCTGTAGGCTCTTGAATAACTTGAATAACTTGAATATGGACTTGAGCCATTTTTGAGCCGGACAGGAACCACCACAGGAGGAGGTCCAATGTGCTGAAAACTGCTGAAATGTGAGTTGTCATAGCATTGTCCAAGTGGAATAATCTTCTGATTTCTGTGATTTCCATGATTTCTACAGTGGCTGTGCCAGAACGTTGTGATTTGCGCAGGCTGATGACGATGCTCCTTTGATCAGTATGATGCCAGACGCAAAGGTAGCGAAGACAGCTGAACCTGAGGAAGAAGAAAGTCTCCCAAGCTTTGCAGCTGCGGCAAAGGCGAACCTCGAGTCGGGTTGGCCTTTCATCGCAGTCAATCTCCAAATTCATACATGGAGTGTTTTCAAGTCTAATCTATCAAGATATATCAAGATGTAAGGACTTTTTGCATTTGCATTGTCAGGACAGCAAAGGAATGGAGGAGTGTCACAGTGTGATTACCGTCAGTGCTACTGTTTCGTTGCGTTTCGTTGACGGAAGAAATCAGCGGACCTATCAACTCAGATATGTCAGGACGAAGACGATGAGCCCCTGATCACAGCGGCGGGATGCCTGGAACATATTGGAACATGGCGTAACATGGCAATATGATGCAATATAGGTGTGGGTCCATTTTTGACGCAAAGGGATGGCTTTAAAAGCTTAAAACTCAACCTGGCCGTGCCTGACTAACATGTTAGACCGAAAGCCATATATTGCTGCAGTGGCTGATTCTTTGTGAAACTTTTCACTAAGGCCACATTGGGAAAGGGAGAAGGTGCCGGCAGCAACCCCCAGCATCAAGACATATCAAGACATATCAAGACTATGAGAGTAGACAAACCTTTGCTTTCTGCGAATACTGGGCTGATGGTTGAATCAGGCTGGTTTCAGCCATCTGGCTCAGAGACTCGCTGGAGCCTTTGCTGAAACGCCAAGGATAGCTTCCCAATGCTAGTGAGATGACACATATTGACACATGGCAAGTGCACCCACATTACCCCCAAAGATCGGGGGAAAGTGCAGAAAAGAGTTGGTCCTGAAATAAAGGATGGGCCGTAATGTCGCACCACTGCTTGGAGGAGCATCAGGTTCAGAAACCATTTGGTAGGACTGCTAGACGATTGCCTGGTGTGGAATGGCGTTGTTTCAGAGCCATTCCTACACCTTGCCATGGCGGAGTGTTAAAGGCCGCAGCTCTACACAGGTCCCACGGCCGCGGATTTTGCCGCGACAACTCCACAGCGGTGGATTTAGCACAGCTGACAGCAAGGGAGTTGTCGCGGTGGGAGTTGGCCTTGCCTCGGTGACTTTGCGCAGGAAAGGCCGGAACTGTTCCGTTGCTTGGCGCAAAATGGTGGATGATGGCGGTTTCCCCGAGTCATGACAGTTTCTTTTTGCGTTTTATAACATGTTTTCATATGTTTTCATGGAGAAAATGATGATACATAAACCATGGCCTGGAACGCGCAGCTTTTCAGAGAACCCCATGTGTGGATCAAAATGACAAAATTAAACTCGGACCCCATCAGCAAGACCTGAGCACATAGCCTTCATCCCGAGTTTGGTTGATGGATATGAGCAGTGGTATAGGTATATGAACAGATGATAACAGATGAGTATCAGATGATATTTACCATAACGGGATGACCCCGTCATTTTTGGATGATTTTTGATCATGGCTGTCATGGCTGTCATGGCTGTCATGGCTGTCATGGCTGTCATGGCTGTCATGGCACCTGTGACGTCGTCCTTTTCTATGCACGTGAAAGCTGAGTTGTTTGAGGTCCCGCGTGTCCCGCGTGCGGCAGTGGATGAGCAAGAGAGCTTTTCAGAGCTGGCAGAATGGCTGCGAGCTCGGGGTGCCTACATCAACAAGGCCCGATTTGACGAGTTGCGAAGTCCGTGAGGTCAGTGAGATGTTAGATTTCCATGTCCTTCGTTGAACGATGATAAACCTCAGATGTTGATGGAATTTGATGGATCTTCCAGATATCTATTGATATCTGAAAAAATGTCAGACCAATCGTGTCCAAAGTTGATCGCTAAGGCCGTGGGTTTGGTTGGAGCTGACCAGGGTGTGGCGGCAGCGTCCGAACGCGGCTGTGTGGCTTTGGAAGACATCCGCGCGGGGGAACTCCTGCTGGAAATCCCGGTGAGTTGCTGCCTCTCAGTGATACCAGGCCTTGAGCATCTTGAGCTACAAACGTTTGAAATGGACGTGTCAACTCTGATTCTGCTTCACATGTTGCACAATACATATACATATATATACATATGTATATATATATGTATGACTGTATAACTATATAATCTATATAGAGATATAATTCTATTAATTCTATGTATATATATATATATTTATTTATTGTAGATACTGTTATAATATGTTATATGTATATATGCATATAGGTGTTTTTCCATGTTTTTCCCACTAATTGTCCTGGCCTTCATTCATGCAGGTTCATACGACCAAGTCTTCGACGAAGAGCTGCTGAAGGCTGTTGATGTTGCAGGTCTCAGACGGCAGGACTGCAGTGCCATGGGTCTTTAAAATTTGTCATGGATGATTTTGGATGGTTTTCGAATGATTATGTGTATATGATTGTATATGTATGTATATGTATGTATATATATATTATATTATATTATATATAATCATATTTTAAGTACAATGTATATTTCCAATGATCTTGATTCATATTGCCATATTGCTCATCCAGAGCTTCACTTTTTCAGCCAGTCATCTTTCAACGGCTGGGCGTGAGGATGCAGAACTGGCATTAGCCGTGGCTGTGGAGCGAGAACTCGGAGAAGAATCTGCGTGGTGGCCATATTTGAAGCTGTTGGATTGTAGCTCTGCAGATTTTCCAGCAACACTTTGTGTTTTTTTTTGGGTCAACACCCCAAATACATCCAAATACTATATGCCCTGTAGATCATCCCTTCAACGATTTCTGGAAGTCGTTTTCGTTGGTTTCATGTGTTGGTTTCATGGATGTATCACAGTTCATCAGCTCGAGGTAAGCACACGTTTCCACTATTTTATGAAGATGGAGACCTGGAGATGTTGGAGAACATCCCATTAAAGGACAGGCGATGAACATGGCACTGGTTTTCTTGCTAGCATTTGTCAGCGATGATGCAGATAATCATCAGATATATCAGATATTGAAAGCTACAATACCCACATATACCCACTTCAGAAACCAAAGTGCTGGAATCCTCTTTGATGTCCGGATGATTTGAGCTGAAATGTAAGGGCTTCCAGACCCAAAAATCAGCCCCAAAGACGAGAGATGACTCTGTTTGGCGGTTGGTCTTTGTATGTGAAGCCGTTGTCTTCCCAGAATTGGTTGAAGGGATTTGCAGGGAAATTTTGCATAGTTGGTTTCAAAGATCAATAAATTCTTGACGATTTTCCCAGCAAGTTCTATCTAAACCATCTCAATCGATCTTGGACAAATCCTCAGTTATAGATGATTTATATATGATTTTCCCATCAAACCCTCCATTGAGTTCGGCAATTCCCCAGCCATGTTTGATTTTCGTATCTCTCCACGATCCAGGAGTCCTTGACAGTGACCAATCGAGCAGTGCAGCTCTTGGTGGAGAAGAGCGGCCTCGCAGATGTCCCGCTGCGGGAGTCGCTGATGTTGGTTTGGGGTCGCAGATTCTCCTGCGATGTGGCCACGGGGATGATTCCCCTGGGGGATTTGCTGCTTGGATCTCCGGAGTTTGGATGGAGAAATGTGGGAAAAGATGGGGGAAATGGGTGAAAACATGATGAAAGATCTTGAAAGATTTGAAAGGTACAGAACATCCATCAAAATCCCCATGGTATCATCATTTTTCTAGGATGGTGGTGAATTGGGGTACTGATTTTTGAGACCCATTTGGATGAAAATCAGGAATCCAGGACTTCGGAAGACTTGCATTTGGCCTGTGGAGATTTTGTGCAGGGTGCCCCTACTCCCATGGATTGTCATTTTCCATATGTTTCCACATTTTTCCACCATTTTTCCACCATTTTCCATGGCTTCTTGGGGGGTTAAATTGGTGAAGTCCCTCAAAACACACCGAGGTTGAATCATCGCTTCTACCCCAGTTGTGCCTGGGAATCACCAACACCTGAGAGCCCAGACGTTTGGAAGCTCCGAGCGAAGATGGATATGGCAGCAGGGGATTCCCTGAACTTTTGCTATTGCGAGGACGAGATGAAAACAGCCATACTGTTGGGGTGAAGATGGTTGAACTCTGGATCTGATGAGATGTACTTGTAGCATTTTGTAGCCTGTAGCCTTCACCAAGCCACGTCAAACGCATGGATTGCCAGCCTTGAGAGTCACAGCCAGGACCCCAATCACTTGCTGATGACGACATCAGGCTTTGTTGTGAAGGAGAATCCTTATGAACCTTGGCAGCTTTAGCAGCCTGTTGGCTGGATATGGCTGTATATGGCTTGATGACAAGCAAACTCAGTGGCCTTGATCTTTTTGCAAATCTGTGATGATTCCAATCCCAAAGGCACGCTAACTGGCTATAGTGACTATAGCATATTCTTTCGTTTCCTGAGAAACATGTTATAAAATGATATATAATAGTTGTTAAATGTTATTAATCATTCCTGAAATATATATATATATAGTGATTATAATGTTATATAGATTTTATAGTTGTTTTTAGCAAGTTGAAGAAGCCCCAGAGTGTTGATGACCTGGAGCCAGAAGCACCCAGGACCGGATCATGGTGAGACCAAGCGATTTGCGAAAGGCGCTGTTGTCGGTCTGCAATGAAAAAAGCTCCGAGGACAGGGCTCGGATAAAATGTGAAGCAAGGCTGCGTGAGATACTGTACGTGAGATTCCGTGAGATAGCGCTCGAGTTTGCAGGACTTTGCAAGCTGGCGCGAGCAGCAAATCGAGGAGCAACTACCAGATCCAGAAGAAGAAGGAGTTGGACTTAGCATGTACTTGGCTTCTTGGCCTTTGCTCAGCCCGCTCCATAGCTTTCCATAGCAGCATAGCATTCCATCGTGCGGTAGCGCATTTCTTCGGCTCGACCAGTCAATCCAAGGTTGGTCGTCAGCCTGGAGGAATCCAATGGAATGACCTATGGTTGAACATGATAGGCCCACCTTTGCAACTGCAGTCGGGCCACGACTTCGGTTTTGTCTCGCCGGTTTTACAAAGGGCCGATCCGTTGATGCGTGCTGCAGGACTTGCAGTGACGGAGGATCCAAACGGTGAGCATTGGAGTGCAACACCTGAAGGTCTGCAAAGGGATGAAACGGATGAGAACCCCTGATCCCCCAAAACAAGGGAAACGTAAAATCCATTGTCTCAGGATGACTTAGGATGGTATGGAATAAGTTATGTTTTCTATGTTGGGACAAGAAAAAAAACAAAACAAGATGGTGAAATGACTGCAAATCCCTCATTGAGCAGCGTAAAGAAATCACTCGGGTTTTTTTCCCACTGCTTGATGTGGTCCTGAACCCTTTGGGCTATATCTTAGAAGCAATTCATTGAATCAATGTTTCAGCTTGCAGACGTCAGCATCCAGGTCTCCAGATGTATTTGGCGGCAATGGAAAAGGCGTCCTGGAGTTTGTTTCCTCAATCCTTGGAGCAGGACCTTGCTCAGGGTGAGGACTTTGCGGATTCCAACCAGGCCGGGGTGGACCCAGCTGCATCGCTGCAGAGGGCAGATGCTCAACGGTATTTTCCAGTCACACCAACTGCCCAAATGCTTCGAAAGGAGATGGCAGCGACTATGCGTCGTGGCTACAAGGAGTTGTTGAAAGAAGCAGTGGATAAGCTGAAAGACCGGCTTGCTGCAGGCTGAATTGCTTGCAGTCACTGGAAGTCTTTGCATGAGTTCATACTGATGTTGACTCTTTGTGTGCAGGTTGACGTCGATGTTCTGAGACCTGAGACCACTGGAAAATACTGGAAAGTATGCAAAGCTACTGATTTTTTTTTAAACAACATGGTGGCAGGATGCAAAAAAACATTGCAGCTGCTACTTGACGGCTGCGCGGTTGGCAGGGATCTCTGCTAGTGGACAGCACTGCAGGAAATACAGTGAAAAACAAAAAGAACCGAGCCTGTTCCACAAGATGTGAATGCGGGTGATACACTTGCAGAGTTTGCCAAATCAACGCCTCAAAAGCGGCCTTACTTTGGAGCCAAAGCGACATCGTCCTGCGAGCCAACAAAAAGATTTGCACTACATGCAGTTTGTCCACCGATTTTCGCTGCTCTGTCCTGGATAACCCGAACTCCCAGCTATTTAGATACTGTTCGAATCTGTTTGACAAAGCCATCCAAGACCTTTTGGTCCTTTGCTTTGCCAGTGCAAAAGCGTTAAATCCAGTTTGATTAAGCAGAGTCCTTGTCTCGTCAATGCAGGTGATGGAGCAGAAGGCTGCCTGCAGAAGCGAATCTGGGTTGTAAGTTGCAAGAGTTTGAAGCAGATTCGATTCATTTCCATTCATGGGTGACTAATGGGTGGCTACATCATAAATCACTAGTGGGTGACTAATGGGTGACTAATGGTCCAAGATTTATGATGTAGCCACCCATTAGTCATATTAGTCACCCATTGGCCACCCATGAAAACAATTGCACCATGTTGCACCTCAAGCTGTTGCAGGTGATATATGGCATCAGTTGGAGACAGAGCTCCGCGTCGAAGCCTGAATGCCAATGTTCAATATATGTATCACAATGTCCATGAATGTGGTAAAGCCAATGCCATAAATGTCCATTAGCGTGGTAAACCCAATGCCATAAACATCATAAACCATCTCCAATGACATACCATAAATTTCTGGAAGTGAATTTATCCCCAAATGGCAGGTTTGTGGCTGCAAGTTGAGGCACCTCTGCATGCTGCTCCAGCGGATGAGGGTGTCCCCCAGGATGCCAAGAGTGGGATGCAGTTCCACCAGGCAGGGATGTTTTGAGCTGCAGAAACTTTGAATGATGTGTTTTCTTTGAACTTTAATGATCTTTCATGATCTTTAATGATCTTTAATGATGGTGATATATGGTGATGTTATGTGATTGTTATGTGATTGTTCTTTTCGAATTGGATCAGAGGGAGTGGCATGCCATGGCATACTATCACAATTGGCGAAGGAAGACAGCGATGATGACTGGGGTATTGCATGGAAAGGAGAACAAGGCAGCCGATCGCTGATTGAATCCGGTAGACTGCAGCTCTTCCCGTGATGGATGTGTCAGACGCTTATGCTGATGCAATACTGCGCGCCAAATGGGTGGAACGCAATTTCCCGCGTTTTTGCAAATACCCAGTGTATCAATACAGTATATCCCAGTATAGTCAATAATCAATTATATAATATAATCAATTATATTCATGTTGTATGATACACATGTGATGTATATCATATATATGCCAAATGAATAAGAACTAAGCTAAGCTCCGCAGGAAGTCAGCTGCCTGGTGCAAACGACGTCTTGGATGAGATTGCTCGAAAAGCGGTGGGTGACGCCAAGGGGATCGAGGGGATCAGCGTGCTGCTGGAAGGATATCCCAATGGAGTCCCCGAATCAGGATGAATTACTCTATTAAGAAAAATGGTGGTGATGATATGACAATTTAGAGTTACAAATGATGAGTAAACCAATTGATGAATGAGAACTACTTCACAATGGTTCATGATAAGTAATTACTAAAGAACAATGTTACACCATCAATTAATTGATGATTAATTTGATTAGTGATGATCATAATCATAATGCTGATGGTTTTACGCATTTTGGGCACCCTATTTTCGGACAAAGAAAGCCAGGTGAGTCTAGCGCATTGCAGCCGTGGATGTTTTTTGCTTTTCGGACATGAAAGGGCATCACCAAAAATTCACAGGTGTCAACCACCGCTTGCCTTTAGCACTTAGTTTCAAATGTGCTGGGAAAGGTGTGTTCTTCCCGGACAGCAAGATTTTGGGCATTGAAGTATTACTACTGTAAGGCATGGGGTAAAGGATGGCAAATGTGTCTAAGAATGACTTGTCAGAGCCGTTCAATTCTGTTATTGAACACGATCATGTCCCATGGTGGTCATCATGCCAACGTATGTCAATTGTTCCTTCTCCAAATATAACTAATGCCCCCGGAGGAAGAAAAGCCATCACCTAGTAAGCACAACCAAAAACTCTGTCTAGATCGTTCAACGCATGCCGATAAAAAGATATAAAAAGCCTCTTTAGTAGCATAGTCTTGCATATCTTGCTCTCGCATTTGTCTCTGAGGCTGAATCCACGAACTGGCACAAGCAGAAGAAGACTTAGCATTCCCAGTGTGTTGTTGAGACGTTGCAGCTGATGACCAGTCGCTCACTGCTGCGAGTCCCTGAGGGAATGGGCCAAGAAAGAGGAGCCACGTGATCAACAGGACGACGAGGAGGAGGAGGAGCAGGCAGCCGGCTGAATCAGGAACCCTGACCGGCGGCAGTATGGGATGGAAGCAATGCAACTCCAGGTCTCCCTTCATATCCCTTCATACTGTGGTGATCACTGGAGATCTTCGAACCGGTGACCATTCAGAGGCGTATATGTGCTAGATATATGTACCAGTGGGCATACCATTTCATGTATCTTGTTCTATCTTACGGAGCAGTGTGAAGGGCGGCTACTGCAGTGCCTTGCAGGGCTCAAGTTTGTTTGTTTACTGAGCCTTTCGCTGGCAGGCTTGGGGCACACACTGGTTCTTCACCAACGACACGGCCAAATCAAAAAGTGATGACTGGCAGCCGGATATGGAATGGATTAGTCTGGCATCTCAGGTCGATTGCACAGTCTTTCGAACCCTACCTCATTTGCATGATCTTGCATGCCATGGTGTGGCGGAAGTAGTAGACTCAAGCATGCAATATTGCACATTGTACATTGTACATGCAGACACAATCAGACACATGTATACGGTATAATTACATATTTAAAGGCTTACGCCTGACAGCCGGGCGCCGGCAGAGAAATGGCCGGACGCGCTCCCTGGTCGTGCGTATGATGTGTACTGTTGGCCCAGCTTGGGGCAATGTTGGCCTATCTTGAAGGCTATGTGGGCCGATCTTGAGGCCTACCTCGGCCGATCTCGAGGCCTATGTGTGGGCCCATCAGATCCGAAACATGGGAACAGCAAGAAAACACTGTAAAACGCAGGATATTTTGATGGTCGGCGGCCTATCTTGGGGCTATGTTGACCCATCTTGGGGCTATGTTGGCCCATCTTGAGGGCAATGTGGGCCCATCTTGGGGCTACGTTGGCCCATCTTGGGGCTATGTTGGCCCATCTTGGGCCTATGTTGGGGCCGTCTGGGGCCGATGTTGGGGCATCTTGGGGCTATGTTGGGGCAACTTGGGGCTATGTTGGGCGATCGTGTGCGATGTTTGTGCAAAAACATGTTGAATGGCACAGGGCCAAAAAACACTGCAATGGGGGATCTGTCGACACGCACACCCTACCGCGAGGTCGGCGGCAGGGGGGGCCAGCGTATATAACCTTCGGTTACCACCGAAGGCCCTCCGGGCAGCACACGGGCGTCCAGGCCGGCGCCCGGATTTAGAGCTGAGCTCATTGTCGGCTCCGCCGGATTACTTGACCTCGATGTCATCGCAGGGTGGGCTTGAAAGCTATTGAACGAGGACCTGCTGCTTCAGAAATATATTCCTTATGCTTTTTTGAACAAATTCATGGAATCATGGAACTGCGGTCTTTTTTCTTGGAGCAAGTGGGGAAGGCGTGTTCCCGAAAGCTCCTGCGAAGGTTTTTTTTTCCAGAGAATTGCTGCCAATTTCAGCTTTCCACTTCGTGTAAAAGCGCCTCTGAGTAAAGAGTTCTCTGTGTAAAAGCTTCTGGGTGTAAAAGCTTCTGTGTGTAAAAGCTTCTCTGTGTAAAGACTTCTCTGTGTGAAAACTTTTGTGTGTAAAAGGTTCTGCGTGTGAAAGCTTCTCTATGTAGAGATTTCTCTGTGTAAAAACTTCTGTGTGTAAACGCGCTTGTGCGTAAAAGCTTCTCTGTGTACAGGCTTCTCTGTGTAAAAACTTCTGTGTGTGAAAGCTTCCGTGTGTAAAAGCTCTCTCTGTAAAGACTTCTTTGTGTAAAAGTTTCTGTCTGTAAACGCGCCTGTGTGTTAAAGCTCTCTGTGTAAAGACTTCTTTGCGTAACAGCGTCTGTGTGTAATAGCTTCTGTGAGAAAACGCCCTTGTGTGTAAAAGCTCCTCTGTGTAAAGGCTTCTCTGTGTAAAAGCTTCTGCGTGAAAAAGTTTCTGCGTGTAAAAGCTTCTCTGTGCAAAGAATTCTCTGTGTAAAAACTTCTGTGTGTGAAAGCTTCCGTGTGTAAGAGCTCTCTCTGTAAAGACTTCTTTGTGTAAAAGTTTCTGTCTGTAATGTAAACGGACCTGTGTGTTAAAGCTCTCTGTGTAAAGACTTCTTTGCGTAACAGCGTCTGTGTGTAACAGCTTCTGTGAGAAAACGCCCTTGTGTGTAAAAGCTCCTCTGTGTAAAGGCTTCTCTGTGTAAAAGCTTCTGTGTGCAAACGCGTCTGTGTGTAAAAGCTCTCTGTGTATACAATTACTTCTCTGTGTAGAAGCTGCTGTGTGTAAAAGCTCCTCTGTGTAAACGCGTTTGTATGCAAAATCTCCTTAGTGTAAAGACTTCTCTGTGTAAAAGCTTCTGCGCGTAAAAACTCCTCTGTGTAATAAAGACTTCTCTCTGTGTAAAAGCTTCTGCGTGTAAAAGCCCGTCGGTATAAAGACTTCTCTGTGTAAAAGCCTCTGTGTGTAAAAGCTTCTGTGTCTAAGAGCCGCTCTGTGTAAAAACTTCTCTGTGTAAAAGCCCCTGTGTGTAAAAGCTTCTGTGCGTAAAAGCTTCTGTGTGTAAACGCGTCTGTGTAAATGCGCCTCACCAGCAGCATCCATCATCATATTTTATTTTCTTGTGTGCTATCTTCTCGTCTCCTCCCTCCAGCTTTCTTTCGGGTCACCGTGGTCCAGTTTCAATCTGCAACGTCGCTTCTTGTGGAAGAATGCCAAGAACATGTGAAAGCATCGCGCGGTTAATTGAACATAAACAGCGCACAAAGTGCTGTAATTAATTTACAGCATTTTACGCTGTCAGATGGCAAGAACCCGCGTAAATACCACAGTTTTAGTCCCCGAAAGTGGCTAAAACACTGTTATTTACAGGGTTTCGTTCACGTCACGATCTTCGATTTTTTGAAAAACGCGTAAATACCAGTGTTTTTTTGCAATCATCAAGGCAAACAATCGGTTCAAAAAGGGAAGAAAATGCTGTAATTTACAGGGGTTTGGCGCCGCCACGGGCAAAAAACTGCGTAAATACCAGCATTGCGGCGTCCAATAGTGGCCAAAACACCGCTATATACAGTGTTCGTGCCTTCCACGTTTTCTTGAAATTGCAAAAACCGTGTAAATACCAGCATTTTTTGCGATCAACCCGCCAAAAATGCTGTAATTTACAGTGTGTTTTTGCTTTGCTTTCAAAAACACTGGTATTTGCAGTGTTTTGTGCATCTCTGGTTGAAAACGTATTGATATTTACAGCATTTTCTGCGTTTTTGCATAGCTCCCGCAAAAGACGGCAAAACGCAAAAATGCTGTAATTTATATACAGCATTTTGTGACTTTCGAAAAGCGAAAAATCGTCCGAAAAATGTGACAAAACGGCGCTTTTTCCCGATTTTAGGTACCCTCCAAACGGGGGGGGAAATGCTCTTGGAGACGCTTATGAGCGACCCGGATTCCAGCCAAAAAGCTCTCCCCCACCCTCCTGAAGGATTTTTTGTGTTTTTCGGGGCCCGGCGTAGAGCTCTAGTCGCTCTGGGACGCTCGTAGGGCAAGCCACTCGTGTGGAGCCGGCGGAGCCGAATTAAAGGGCTACGCCCTCTGCCGCCAACCCCTGGACACTGGAGGTTCATGTCTGTGGGAAACTGAGTGACCAACGGACGCTGGCGCAGGTGCGCAATCTTGTTTCGTCGCTTGCTTCTTGTGCTTTCTCATCGCAACAGAACATCTATAATGTATGCAAGCAAAGGAAGTTTCGAAGTCAAACTTCGCACAAGAGGGACAGATGGAAAAGCAGAGATGGAAGGAGTCAGAGAAGAGCAGAGAAGAAGCAAGAAGATCAGAGAAGAGAAAGGGTCAGAAGAAAGACGATGCAGGTGGCGAAAAGGTAGAAAAGTCGCGAAGCACTGTGTGTGGACAATGACCTGTGGCAAACGTCACTTTCTGAACTGAAAGCAGCCGGCAGCGCACAGTGCCAAACGTCACTTTCTTAACTGACTAGAAACTAGCTTCAAACCTTCCATTTGCTTGGCTTCCTGCACTGCCAGCTCCCAACTTGCTTGCGTCCTCTTGCGTCAAAGGACCCCCCCGCATGGCTAAAACACCACGGCAGTGAAGGACGGATCGGGCCCGCGGCCGGCAGCCCACAGTGCCAAACGTCACTTTCTGAATTGACTAGAAACTATAGCTTCAAACCTTGCCTTTACCTGCCGTTCTGCACTGCCAGCGTTGAAATTTTAGCGCGTCCTCTTGCAGCGCTTTCGTCCTGCACAGCTCGGGTCCAAGGACCCTGTCGCAGGTCTCAAACACCATGGCAGTGAAGGACGGATCGGGCCCGCGGCCGGCAGCCCACACTGCCAAACGTCACTTTCTGAATTGACTAGAAACTAGCTTCAAACCTTGCCTTTACCTACCATTTTGCACTGCCAGCGTCGAAATTGCTTGCGTCCTCTTGCAGCTCGCTTTCGTCCTGCACAGCTCGGGTCCAAGGACCCTTTCGAAGGCCTCAAACACCATGGCAGTGAAGGACGGATCAGGCACGCGGCCGGCAGCCCACAGTGCCAAACGTCACTTTCTGAACTGACTAGAAACTAGCTTCAAACCTTGCCTTTTAGCTCCAACTCCAACTCCAATCCGAAAAAGAGCTCCAAACTCCAAATAGCTCCAAACCTCACTTGGTCGCCTTCCTACACTGAAGGACGGATCGGGCCCGCGACCGGCAGCCCAGAGTGCCAAACGTCACCTGCTGAAGTCTAGACACTAGCTCCAAACCCTGACTTTGCCTGCCTTTCTGCACTGCCAACTGCCAACTGGCTTATGTCCTCTTCCGTCAACTCTTGCTCTCATCATTTCTCGCCCCTGGCTGATGGTAATGTCTTCTCTGACGCGCTCCCCCTTTCCGTCGGCGGGGTCGGCGGATTTACATTGTAAATATTATATATTTATATATATATATAATATATATATATTTTTTTGATTATACGCGTAAGCGTACGTGTACGTGTACGTGTATGTGTGCGTGTAGGTGATCGTGTACGTGTACGTGTACCTACATACATAAATACATACATGCATGCATGCATGCATACATACATACATATTATATATCATATACACTGGCTGCTGCTGCTGCTGAGCACCCGTTCGCTCCGCTTACTGGATGCGCTTCGGGGCTGCTACGGGCACCCATATATATACATATCTATATGTAAGATATATACACACATATGTATATATATATGCACCCAGCATAGCTCGGTCACGTCTACTTGAGTGGACACTAGCCAGTATTTTGGTCAAAGTCTTCTTCAATATGATATGCGCGCTCTGTTGGCCTCCATTCCTCGCAAGTAAACTCAACGAAAAAGCCCACATTGAAATGTTTTCACGAAACCAGTTTTTGTGTGATTAAAGTTTGTGCCTACAAATACCGATTCTCATTTGGTCATTGTAATTTAAGAGCGAATGTTGTATCAAACGAGAAACTGCACTGTGGTTAGAATTATGAGTTTTGAATAGATAATGTTGATATCCTTCAAGGTCAGAACTGCACCAGAGATATAAAGAATACAAATCCCAAGCCAATCTCAAAAGCAACTTTATTCTTGAAATCAAAAATCTTCAACAATGACCATAAATGCACATAATTACCCGTTTGTAAATAGAGGCATACAGGAGCCATGCATTCGAGGGATGAAGTGAACATGCACATCTATTGCTACCCAAAACCAACGGTTTGCGACATGATTTCCGTGCGTTTCATCACGTCCCTTTTGGGCACATTTAAATGAGGTGAAGATGCATTCTCCAATTCAAAAGAAGCAATGGCTGTGGAGAATGTTGTGTGACTTGCCAGCAGTCCCCGCCATTCAATGGAACGACGCGGGAAGCGGAGAAGCGCGAAAAATATTTAGCAGATAGCTCTCGAGGATCAGGATCAGGATTAGTCTGAGTTCTAAGCGATGTTTGAAGACGGGTAGTTCGCTGAAAGAAAGTACCTCAGAGGAAGTTTTTCCTTTACACAACATGAAACGACAAAGGAGGGGCGATGTTTGATTTACATTTGCCAAGGCGAAAGATTCGATCTCGGGCAAATGAGAAGCATGAAAAGAGTTCAAAGCCTGAATCTCAGCCTCTTCGCCTCGGTAAATCCTTGAACTTTGAGGTTGACATGAAAAGGAAGATAGGTGTCAAAAAAACAAAAAAACGTGCCTAGGCCTAGGTGATACTAGGTTCATCTTTGACTCATCTTTGTATACGATTTTTTGGAGTCAGTGCCAGTTCAGATTGTTTGGTAATTAATATGCCTGTTTTCACCAGGTTCCAGCTTTGCGAAGAACGATTTGGCATCCATGCTGTTTGGAATAAAATCATGCAATGTGCAGACTCCACCTTTCCGCAGTCGGGCCGCGATTTTCACAATGAGGTCCGGAATCGAAGCTTATCCCAACGACACCCTGTTTCAGGTGAGCCTCTGCAACGCATATGGAAGCGCGGCATCCAGCATCATTACAGCATCATCACTTCAAACATGTCGCATATCTCAAAAATGCAGATTCTGGTTGAAGATTGGGTCCACATTATATACGATAATGGCCAATAATTTTCAATGATGTTTAACGATGTTCATCGGCCCAATTTCAATGCCACTTGACATTCGCAAGTCCATCGCCGTGCAGGTGTTGAAGAGATGGGTCAAGAAGTGCGCAACGAGACGAGAAACATCTAGCGAATGTGTCGCTTTGCGGATAGCATTTGGAATTCTCAGGGCTTGACAAAATTGCATAGGCCACTTCCAGATCAGCGTACGTTGCTTGCAGTGATGCTTTTCGTCGAGGTGGGGCCATTGGGGGCTGGGTTGGGCCGGGCCACCGTGTTTGATCCCAGTAGACACCGCATGATCTTATGCCGTTCCTCACACAATATGCAGGGGCCAACACCCTAAACCATGAGAAGTTCTCAATGAGATGGTGACTCGATAGTGCAGAAATTGCAGATGTCTCGACTATCCATTTTGTTCTTGACTGCATGTGAATGCGCAATGCACGCTTGCATTTGCTGAGCGAGAAAGCTGGAAAACAGAGGTGCTTTTGATTGAGCCTAAGTTCTGACTTGCCTTTTAAACCCACATGGAAGCTTGATGAACGAACTTGACCTGCCCTCGGTCGCCATATCCTTTCAAAACTCTAAATCGAAATTGAATTGGAGAACTCCGGTCAAATATCCACACAAGACATGGGGATTGTATTTAATCATATTGTTAGAGCCTCGCACATCGGCGTGTTGTTGCTGTTGCTGTTGCTGTTGTTATTGTTGTGGTTGTGGTTGTTGTTGGTTGCTGTTGGTTGTTGTTGGTTGTTGTTGGTTGTTGCTGGTTGTTGTTGGTTGTTGTTGGTTGTTGTTAATTATTGCTGGTTGTTGTTGATTGTTGTTGGTTGTTGTGGTTACGGTTGTGGTTGTAGCAGTTGCAGTTGTAGTAATTGTTATTGTTGTTGCTGTTGCTGTTGCTGTTGTTGTGGTTGCGGTTATGGTTGTTGTTGGTTGCTGTTGGTTGTTGTTGGTTGTTTGTTGTTGTTGGTTGTTGGTTTTGTTGGTTTTGTTGGTTTTGTTGTTGTTGTTGTTGCTGTTGCTGTTGCTGTTGCTGTTGTTGTTGTTGTTGTTGCTGTGGTTGTGGTTGTGGTTGTCGTTGGTTGTTGGTTTTTGGTTTTTGTTGGTTGTTGGTTGTTGGTTGTTGTTGGTTGTTGGTTGTTGGTTGTTGGTTGTTGGTTGTTGGTTGTTGTTGGTTCTTGGTTCTTGGTTCTTGGTTTTGTTGTTGTTGTTGTTGTCGTCGTCGTCGGTTGTTGGTTGTCTGTTGTTGTTGTTGTTGTTGGTTGTTGGTTGTTGGTGTTGTTGGTGTTGTTGGTGTTGTTGGTGTTGTTGGTTTTGTTGGTTTTGTTGGTTTTGTTGGTTTTGTTGGTTTTGTTGGTTTTGTTGGTTTTGTTGGTTTTGTTGTTGTTGCAGTTGTTGTTGCTGTTGTTGTTGTTGGTTGCTGTTGGTTGCTGTTGGTTGTTGTTGGTTGTTGTGGTTGCTGCTCGTTGTTGTTGGTTGTTGTTGGTTGTTGCTGGTTGTTGTTGGTTGTTGTTAATTATTGCTCGTTGTTGTTGATTGTTGTTGGTTGTTGTGGTTACGGTTGTGGTTGTAGCAGTTGTAGTTGCAGTTGTAGTTAGTAGTTGCAGTTGTAATAAGTGTTATTGTTGTTGCTGTTGCTGTTGCTGTTGTTGTTGTGGTTGTGGTTGTGGTTGTTGTTGGTTGTTGGTTGTTGTTGGTTGTTGGTTGTTGGTTGTTGGTTTTGTTGTTGTCGTCGTCGTCGTCGTCGTCATCGGTTGTTGGTTGTTGGTTGTTGGTTGTTGTTTCTTGTTTCTTGTTTCTTGTTTCTTGTTTCTTGTTTCTTGTTTCTGCTGCTGCTGTTGCTGCTGCTGCTGCTGGTGGTGGTGTTGTTGCTGCTGTTGCCCCTGCAGCTTTTTTCTCAGCCTCGTAGTGGCTGAAAATCGTCAAATAGGTTGTGTTTTCACGTCTTTTGAAAATATCACCATAAACACCGCCGCGGAAGCCAAAAACAACGGTATTTACGATGTTTTTTGCTTCTGGTAGCAAAAATCACCGTATTTACAATGTTTTTTGGCTAGTGCCTAGCAAAAACACTTGTAGTTACGCAGTTTTCAGCATGTTGCAAGAAGCATTTCTTCCATTTACAATGTTTTGGTGCTTGGCGCGCACCAAAAAAACAGCAAAAAATCCGCCAAAAAGTGCCCAAAACAACTTCCAAAAAGCATCTTGTCATTTTTGTCTCTTTTTTTCCGACCCCGGAACCCGAAAAACGTGAAAACACCACCAGAGTAAACGATTTTGGGGAAGTTCGGTGGCAAGGGCGCACAGCATGCTAGTAGAGGACGGATCGGGGACGGGGCCGGCAGCTCATAGCGCCTGACGTCGCTTTCCGAACCGACAAGACGCTAGCTCCAAAATGCAGCTCCCAGGTCTCAAAAGCGATGCTACTGGGGCTTGCGGCCCATGTCGCTTTCTAAACCGACAAAATATTATTTCTGAACCGACAAGATGCTAGATCCAAAATGCACCCAAACAGCTGCAGGATGGATCGGGCACGGGCGGCCCAGAGCCCCTTGCGTCGCTTTCTGAAGCGACAAGACACTAGCTCCAAACAGCAGCTCCCAGCCCTCAAAACGGCGCCTTCGCCACGCCCAAACACCTAACGTCGCTTTCTGAACCGACTAGAGACTAGCACCAAAAAGCAGCTCTTAGGTCTCAGAGATGGCGCCTTCGCCACGCCCAAACAGCATGCTACTAAAAGACGGATCGCGCACGGGGCCGCCACCTCATACTCCCTAACTTCGCTGTCTGAACCGACAAGAAACGAGCTCCAAAAAGCAGCTCCCAGGCCTCAAAACAGCATGCTAACCAGCTCCCAGGCCTCAAAAACGGCGCCTTCGCCAGGCCCAAGCATGCTACTAAGAACGGACCGGGGACGGGGCCGGCAGCTCATAGTCCCCAACATCGCTTTCTGAACCGACAAGAAATTAGCTCCAAAAAGCAGCTCCCAGACCTCAAAAACAGCACCTTCGCCACGCCCAAACAGCATGCTACTAAAGGACGGATCAGGCACGGGGCCGGCACCTCATAGCGCCTTTTATACCGTCGCTTTCTAAACCGTTAATAAATTCTATATAGCTCCAAAAAGCAGCTCCCATGCCTCAAAAACGTCGCCTTCACCACACCCAAACAGCATGCGGGGCCAGCGACCCAGAGTGCCTAACGTCGCTTCATGAACCGACAAGACACTAGCTCCAAAATGCAGCTCCCAGGCCTCCGAAGCTTCGCCGTCGCCATTGACCTTCGCTTCGGATTTCGCTTGCCTCTTGCCTCTTCCTGGCTAGTACTCTTGCAGCTTGCTTGCTTTTGCCCTTGCTCTTTCAGCTTGTTTTCTTGCTCCTTGCTTTTGCTTCCGTTTCTGTGCTTCCTGCTTGCTTCTGTTCTTCCCCTTGCTGACAAGCTTCTCGAAACTTGCTGCTTGCACTATCTTCTCTAATGCGCTCCCCCTTGCCGTCGGCAGGGGTCGGCGGATTCTTGTTCTTGCTCCTTGTGTCGTGTCCCATCTTCTCTGACGCGCTCCCCCTGCCGTCCATCTATTTTCCCCCTAGCTCCGTCTCTTGCTTTCTATAGTTTCTTGCTCCATGTTTTCTCTCTACTTCCTGCTCGTCGACATTTGCTGCTTGCCATCTCTTCTCTATCTTCTCTGACGCGCATCCCCTTGCCGTCGGCTGGGGTCGGCGAATTTTATCGCGCAGTGTATACCATGCACCCCCAAACTTATCTTTTCTGGCCCAACCCAATCCAATCAATCCAATCCAACTTACCTAATCTAATCTAATCAAATGTCATCGCCTTATCTCTTCTTATCCTACTTTATATGGGAATACGATCATTACCCCACAGGCTCAGGCCTTGGACATGGAAGTTCTTCCGACCTGAGCTCAGCGGTGACAAAAATGGGATGGGATAGCGAACGTTGGATATACTGTGGATGGAAGAAATCTTCTAAATAATGGGATGTTTATATACCATCTATCAACTGGAGCACTATTTCGCAACCATCTACAGTATGTTGATATTTTTGGGGTGTTGTTGTTTTTGTCGTGTTTTGTTGATATAATGGGAGAACCAAGAATATTCTGTCATATTTTGGTAATACGTGATTTCCCATTGGCAATCTTCCCACAACTTATGGCAATTTTGAGATGGGGACAATGATGGAGAAGGGTATCATTGGGGTGCAGTATGCCCGCTGAATTTGTGTGGGTGGCCGAAAAGGATAGGGATTAAATGTCCCAACTTATGGGGGGGCAAGCACCATGGCGATATCCAATTTCCAGGATTGGTTGATGGGAAACTTTGTTTTTGAAAGCCTCTATGACTGATGGCAAAAGCCATGATTTCCCATGGTGCTCGGAAGATCACTGAAAGATCATTGGGAAGATTTAAGACCCTCTTCCTATATATGTATGTAATGTAATGTAATGTAATGTAATGCAATGCAATGCAATGCAATGCAATGAAATGTATGTATGTATGTATGCATGGATGTATGTATGTATGTATACATAACATATGTAGATATTATATTATTTATTGCGTATTATTTTTTTGATATTATATATTATATATTTTTGATATGTGTTAGAGATTATATATTACTTATTTTTGACTGATTACTGTATATGATATATTTTTCAATATTACATAATATATATATATATATATGTGTTTATCTTGTATTTTTGTTAAATATTTTTAAATATAAAATATGTATTTTATTTTACAGTTTTTTGATTATCTATTATTTATTTTGTAATATGCAGTCTATATTCAATATTTTATAGATATCATATCTATTTCTTATATTTTATATACTTATGTATATATATATATATTTATATTTATATATAAAATCTTATGTTTGAGTTTTGATATGATTTTATAATATTTTATTGTATATATTGCTTACCAAATATTTACAATATATATATAAATAATCATACATCTCATTTTATCTATTATATATACTATATTAAATATATTATTGTTTTTAGATTATTTGTATGTTATATAAAAACATACTGTTTATGCTTTCATATATGTTATATATGTTTTATATATATATATATACTATATAGTAATATTATACGTATATCATATTTATTTTACATATATTATGTTTATATTATATTTTATATATTATAGATATTGTTTTATATCATATATACTGTGTATATATATTCTAGACATTTTTTATAGCAGATATATCAGGTATATTATTCATATCTTTTGTTTTATATAGAGATATATTTATTTAAATATATCATAAACATTAGATATATTAGATATTTATCATTTGGGATATTTTTATATACATTATATTTGTTATTTATATTATGTATTAGATATATTTTACATATATTATATTTGTTTCAAAATATCATATATATATATGTATTTTTATATACTTTATAATTGATATAGTATATATCATTTATATAATATATTGTTTTTAATATATATCATATATCATATATAATATAAATATGTTCATCATATATTTTTAAATATAATTTATAATTCATATATTTAATATTATATATATATTATAGTTTATTTACATTATATATATTATATCATTTATTGTTTTTTGTTTTATATATATAATATATGGTATTTAATTTACAGTCATCGACAGAATTATGGAAATGAAAAAAGGTTCGCGCGCCACAGGTATCGGAAAAGGTTCGGCCCCGAAAAAAAGATGCAATCGGACCGATAAGAACGATCAAATTTTTTTTTTTTGGAAATGGCAATTTTCGGATCCTGATCCTCCAAACTACCTGGTTTACAGCGTATTTGCATGATCTTGGGATTACACCTAGATTCAGTTTTCAGATCCTGATCCCCCCCAAAAAAAGATGAGACAAATGTCTACAAGAGCTTTTAATTCTTTCACGATGTGAGTTTAATTCTGGAAATCTCACTTTTCGGATCCTGATCCTCCAAACTACCTGGTTTTGAGTGTTTCTGCATGATTTTTCGGATTAAATCCCGATTCAGTTTTGGGATCCTTATCCTCTAAACCACCTGGTTTACAGCGTATTTGCGTGATCTTGGAACTAAATGTAGATTCAGTTTTCGGTTCCTGATCCGCCAAAAAATGAAAGATTAGACAAATGTCTACAAAAGCCTCTAATTCACGATGCGAATTTAATTTTGGAAATCTCACTTTTCGGATCCTGATCCTCCAAACTACCTGGTTTTGAGTGTTTTTGCATGATTTTGGGACTAAATCTAAATTCAGTTTTGGGATCCTTATCCTCTAAACCACTTGGTTTACAGCGTATTTGCATGATCTTGGGACTAAATCCAGATTCAGTTTTGGGACCCTTATCCTCCTAACCACCTGGTTTACAGTGTATTTGCATGATCTTGGGACTGGGACAGTGTATTTGCATGATCTTGGGACTGGGATCTTTATCCTCCAAACCACATGGTTTACAGCATATTTGCATGATCTTGGGACTAAATCTAGATTCAGATTTCGGATCCTGATCCTCCAAACCACCTGGTTTACAGCGTATTTGCATGGTCATAAGTCATAAGGGTTACCATAAATTATGCACCGTGGCCATGGCCAAAAGAATTTTGGAAACGTGTCAATAGAAAAGTTGTCACCCGCAAAATTATGGAAATTGTCCAATTCCAAGAAGCACCCGCAAAAGGCTCGGGAGAAACGATAAGAGATATTTTAGATTTCTGCACTTTTATGAGTAAAACAGAATTATTACCGACCCATGCGGAACCTTTTTTTTCCATTTTCAGAATTCTGTCGACGACCATATGTATATAATATACATTTGTGTATATTGTGTATATAGACAAATTTATACCTGGTGTCTTTTATGAGTGACGAGATGTGACTAGGTTTGACTCATGAATCAGAGTCGGAATGAAACACTGGTCATTTGACTTGTGTCCCAAGGCCGGACTTGAATTCCATCTGTCTGTCCATGTTGACCACGCAGGAGCAAATTTTTATTTTCCATTCGTGTCCATCCCTGGGTGTCCACCCTTGAAATATGGATTAGTCCAAAAATGAGGGATGCCCCAATGTCTAGCCTTTTGAATAAGGCAAACGATGAAAAACTACTGGGAATTTGAGGTTTTCCGAGTTTTTCAGGCAAAACCATTGTTTCAGGAGGTGGACGACATGCGGAATGCCTGCAGGACTGTGGGGCTGCCCGAGTCAGAGTCTGGTCAACTGCCTTCTGAGATGACCCCTCGAGCGGCCCTTTTTATGGGAATGATGATAAATCAGTGGATGGTGGCTGTGGTTTCCGTTGTTCCAGACACAACATGACACATCATGACACGACCATTTTTTGTTGTTGATAATGTTCATCCATACCTGAGTATCATAGACCAAGGGTGCACTATCACTTGGAGAGTACTGTAACATAGTGTAATGATGTGTAATGTAGGGGGTCATTGGGAATGAGGTGCCACCGCACTTGATGTTGAAAAAGGCGCAAGGGGTGCTGGTTTTGAAGGGACTGGCTGGGAAGTGAGCCTGCAGGATTTGTTCTGCCTCTTTTAAGTTGAAATATCCCTCCAATCCGTTGATTTATCATGACAATACTAAAGTTGATATATTATTGTGGTACAGTGGTACATATGTACTGTGATGTTATGTTCCTGTTATTTGGTGTATATGCTGTACATTTGGTGAGGCAGATGCGAAGATCCCAGATTTGAAGCTCCGAAAAGAGATCGCTCCAGAGGCGGGCCATCAGGGCTCCTGGCTGCAGTGGTTGAGTCAGACAGATTGGAACTCTTCTTGCTGTGCATGCCTACATTCTTTGCAGCCGAGCTTTGTAGTGGGGCACCAGTTTTGAACAGTACAAGTGGGTGATAGGCCGAAACTGTTTGATCGATACTTGGAGCAACAAGTTCCTTTAAGCACATGTTGTAAGCACATGTTGTGGTGTATTCTTGGAGCTCTTGTTGAATTGTAGGTTTATAGGGGCATAATCTCCACATCTCATCTGGAGCAGCTCGATGGATGGAATGCCTCTGGCATTTTTTCCCCTGCCTAGTAGGCAGTACGATGCACCCAAGACAATCTTGAAGATAACAGCTACCTAGTAGTGCAAAAACTGCAATATGAAAGGGTCGGAAGAGCGCAAAGGCACCCCAAAGATTTATTCTAAATGGCGAAACGATGTACATGTTGTCTTGTGCGCGCAGATCATTTCTCAGCTGAAGACGAAACTCAGCAGTTTGCTCGTTGGCTCTGATGTCGAGATTGAAGAGGCCATTGAGCAGCTGTATCACTTTTCATTTGGATCTGAAAATCTGGGATATCCTAAAAGGATGGTGAACCATCAAGTCCATGGGTACCTTGTTGTCAGACAACCCATATTGTATGAGTTATGCTTGAATCATCCTTTTGGTGAAGAATATCGAATCGTGTGCCAAAATACTGGAATAGTTGTGCAAACATGGAGACCATTTGCAGCCAATTCGCATCCAGTGGCTCAATTTCAACATCGATGCGTCGTAAAAATGACATGAAATGACATGATTTTTCGCTGGCCCCAGCGATTGTGACGACCCAACGACGATGTTTTTGTCTTTCCTCACGCCTCGAAAGCGAAGGAAGACTTGGGTCAAAACATTGACACCCTTTTCCTGGATGCTGGATCCCAAGAGTGGAGGAGAGTCTCGATTCAAACATATTCAAACTAAGTCATGAAATGTTCATGTCTTTCGCTTCAAGTGACTATGGACATGGGAAACAATAGTGCAGACTAAGATTTGTTCTGAGATGTTCTGAGATTTGGTGCTGGCTCGCATCTGGAGAAAAGGCTAAGGCCTAAATTGAGTAATTACTTCATATTACTTCTGGTATTTGGTTGGTATACCCCATCACCCCGCCGGCTCGACTGAGAATAAGTGTTGTAATCTGAGCGTTTTTGCGGACCAAGACCTTGCTGACTCGAATCAGGATCAAACAGGGAAGTGAGAATTGGAAAAATGGCATCCATTTTTCCTGTGGCAAACCCATGAGAAAATGTCATTTCAGAAAATGAAAACCATGAGAAACCCAAATTTCATCAAATTTCATGTGGCAAAATTCCGTGGTTGCGCCCAGATCCCTGCCACGGTGAAGATAATGGGCTTGGTCCGAGCCTTTTTGGGCCTGGAAAAAAGGAATGTACCAGCAGCCAAAGACCAAAGATGATATGCCAAAGATAATTACACAACATGTATATAAATGATTATAAATGTATATAATATGTTTTGCATGTGATTACATATGCAGACATTACACACATACACAAAGATATTAATTATAATATTGTATATATATATACAGTATATATTCACATGCACCATTCACACCATATACATGCATACCTCCATACGTACGTAAGCACATACATGGACATAGGGATGTTTAAGTTGACCATGAGAGTCTTGAGGTTTCTTGGGCCATGGCTCTTGACATGCAGCCTTTCAAGACATGAAGTTTCCTCAAGTTATCTGTGATCAGTCAACTGAGGTGCACTGTTGTGAGTACGTTGCCATCCTCAAACGAGTGTTTGATGCCCAAGAGCTGCAAACTTTCCCCAGTTTGATCAACTCATGAGTTGTTCCCAGTGGCCATCCAGGTGGGATGCCAAAGAAGAGCTCTTCAACAGTATAGCGCACTAAGCTCAGCCTGGTGTTGGATTTAGTATAGTGATATATTGTGATTGGAAAGGCTGAAGTTACTGGAAACCGTATCCAAGATTGGTGACATTTGGTGATCACAAGATTCAAAGATGTGGAAACAGATGGAAACAGCTACAACTAGCTAAGATATGCTCAGATATGCTCATGTTTCCTGATTTGCACATCTGAGGATGGACCAAGACCCTAGTTTGTACACCAAAACAACCAGCGGTTATTGATGTGTATCCATTTACTTGGGAAAACATGTCACAACATGTGAAAAGCCATAGGTTTTGAGACTTCAGCATGTAGCCCATGAGTTGAATCTGTCAGCATCAGCTCATGGCAGGAAGCAGGTGGAACAATGGCGAAGCTTCGAAGTGCTGTGTCGCCTCAGTCTTCGAGATGCCTGTGTTCTGGTCCGGAAGCCTAGCCCTGGAAGCCCAACATGGGAAGATGACAGGCCGGTGGAAATACATGTGTATACATCTATACTATTAAATTCTCTAAATTTAATTATAATATATATATGTGTGTGTTTTGAAAAATGTATGTACAGAATATACTGATATATACTGTATGTCTGGTATATCCATATCTCTATCTATTCTTGACATATGAGTACGGGTCCCAAAGCTTCTTTCGTTAAAGAAATATGTTTAAAGTTTAAAGAAAAACAACTGTCGGTCTTAGGTTTGCCCAAGGGACCAAATCACGGAGCATTAGAAGGCAGCACCAAATAAGTTCAGACAAATGGTGCAGCAAAGGAAACTTGCTGCTCTTCACCTGTAGTGTCATTATGTCATTGATTTCGAAGAGTTACATAGACTTGGATACTATGGACAAAGTCCGTAGAAACGAAGACTGCAGCTGAATGGCAGAAGAACGAGCCAAAGGAAGACGGCTCGTGTCAGGTTGATTATGCATATATGTACCATGTTCCCCACATTTTGCTGTACATTGTATTCTTTGGCTGGTTTGACTGCAGAGCACTATGAATCCAAAGCCAAGCACAATGAATCCTTGGCCAAGGCTAAGCAGACGTTGGACGCAGATGTGGAACACCTTCGCAAATCCAAATCTGTCAGATTCTGAGGGCGGGAGCACTCCTGATGTACAGGGAAACAACAAGAACAATGCCTGTGCCACAGAGCCTATGCCGTTTCCACAAGACAAAAAAGGAGGATTATCCTGTCTAGATGTTCTCTGACTTTGGAAGTCGCTCAATACCACTACATACTTGGACTTGAATCGTTGTTGACTTGGGGTAGTTGACGTTGCAAGAATCTACAAATTGACATTGGCATCACTAATTCTGGCACAGACTGCTGGCTTCCAAGAGGGTGCTCTGTGAGACAGAGACAATTATGGTGACAGGTGTTCAAGGGCAATTTGCCAATACAACTACGCAAGATGTGCAAATAAATCGTACAAACATATCCAGATGGGACCCAAAAAGCCCTTATTTTGGTGAGGGTTCGACTGCACACACGAAATGAGGATCATCGCTGGTACAGACGAAAGCGGGATTTCAGTGTGCGCATATGTTATCCCAGATCTGCGCATTGTTGATCTGATCCTCTGTCCTATTTTGGACGGTAAATCCGCACTTCGTCAAAGTCTCCAAATGAAATATGGTAAGTTTGGGTTCCAGGCATTTCCAGCCATATACTACAAGCATCTACAAACTCATAGTGTAGCAGTGCTTGGCAGAGGTCTGTCAGACCCGTGTTGTTCAGTTGTTCCTCCACTGCCTCGCTAAGTCGTGCTTGAATCGCCTAGCAGCAGAGTGGAAATTGGCTCCAAGAGAGGCTCACCAGCATCGGCCAACGTGCTGGTGATTTCCACAGCGCTCCTTTGTCGTACGGGTTTACTAATCTTTCTTACTTATAGTTTACAGATTATTTATGTTTATTTATGGGTTTGGACGCAATATGGCTGTAGTTTTACCATGTTTTCCCATGTGTTGCCTCATTGCAGATTCTCAAATCGAAAAAGGCCCGCAGTTCCACCAGTCATGGCACATTGTCCACACATATCAGGAGGACATGATGTTGCTGCATATGCTGGGGCTGAATCGGCAGATACAGGCCGATGCTCCTGAGACACAGCCGTAGCGAGGATTGATTCCAAATAGCATCAGCATCAAGCAGCTACAATTGTCAGACTTGTGAAGCAATCAATCTGTTCCAGAAATACCGAACAGCTTGGTGCCTCGACAGGTGCTGCTCAGCATCGAACGCGATGTCGAGTTGCAATGGTGTGAATTGATGGCCAAGGCGTTGCAACAGACCGGCGCTAAAAGTTGAAAGTATTGGTCTTTGATGGGCCATACTATTTGTATGTATCTGTTTTGTTTGCGAACTGTATCGGATAGATAGATCAGATAGATCAGATAAATCAGATAGATCAGATAGATCAGATTAGGTAAGACAAATCAGATAGGTGAGATAGGTGAGATTGATGAGATAGATAGCATAGTTAGATTAGAATAGATTGGATTCGATTCAATTAGATCAGGTTAGATTTGATTAGCTTAGATAGGTAGAGTAGATTAGATTGGTAGGTTAGATTAGATTAGCTAGGTATAGCTAGGTAGATTAGATTAGATAGGTAGATTAGACTGGATGGGTAGATAGATAGATAGATAGATGGATAGATAGATAGATAGATAGCTTTATTTGGAGGGCGTTGATGTTTCTTACTGTCCAGGTAGAGGTAAGAGAAGAAAGAAGTGCAGCGCTTGGAGAGACCCATTGAGAAGTCATGGGGACTATAGTGACTAGAGCACGAATCAGCTCGACATCGCGCGTTGAGGTGGAAAGCTTCGAGAATATCTTAATTTCACTCAACGTTTGAGGCGCCATCATTGATGCTGTGGAAGTGAGCCAGGCTGCATGTGGTGTCTGAAAATATGGTACCGCCCCCCCCAATTTATATAAATTATTCGGGATCCTGACGATGATCCTATTTCAGGATTGCTCAAATCATAGGTAAATGATGGGCACGGGGGGAAAACTGGTCATTTTACCTCTTTATCATCTTTATCCGGTGTTCCCCAGTTGTATCTGGGGTGGGAGCAACCCTGTATTTTCAGACAAAGCCATGTCACAAGTACTGCAGTTGTGTCCTTTGATTTGATCATTTTGATGACTTGGCGAAGCCGATGTCGTGACCCAGACCATACCTCAACGAGGAGGATTTGCTTCCAGGTGCGCGACACGACACTTTTGCAATGACATCAAATAAGTATCTATCCCCGTTTGACAGGCCAGGTGTTGCTTGATGTATCTTGATGTTTTCTTATGTTTTCTTGATGTTTTTTTCTTGGAATACCTTTGAGCATCTTGGAATCACCATGAATGTGGGATGGAACTGTACTTGAAGGCGTTGCGCCAGTCCTGGCGCCAGGCAAAAAGCCACTCGAGAAAGAAAGCGGTCAGAAGCGCGGGCCAAAGAACTGAGACCTTGGAGAAAACTCCCGATGTTTTTCCATGGAAACAGGGAGGATTTTAAAGGGATCCAAAGGATTTGCAAGGGAATTCTCCCAATCAAACATCTTAAGGATCTTAAGGGATAGGGAGCGAAGCGATGTTGAAGGATGACAGCCATGAGGTCATTGAATCATGGATCCATGGATCAGAGGCTTGAAATCTACGACTTGGCCATGGTGCGACAAGGCGATCAGCTCAGTGGAACTTGAGTTTGAGTCTTTGGCTGCCATGCTATGAATGAGGTCAGCTGGGAATGCCATGTACAACATATTTTTCACCACATAGCAACAGAAGGGTCTAAGTCTAGGGTCTTGAATTTAGCTGGAAGATCTGGAAGCTGACTGCATTCCCAGCCACCTCGCATGGAATCGGTGCACCGCAGGCGTGTCCGAGATTTTCAAAAAGCTGAAACAACTGTACAAGTGGAAGCCTGACATGAGCTCTCGCAGGGAGCTCAGGCTCACATATGCGGATGGCAAATGTTTACGTTCGCTATTGCGAAACATGAATCAGTCTTGGAAGATCATGGAAGCTGCAGCGCGCCTGAGTTGTGAGTTTTTGCATCAAGGAACGGCGATCTCCAAAACAAATTGGGTCAGTACCTCAAACATGATCAATTGCAAAATATCAAAATATCTGGATGGAAATATGTCGAGTACTACATGTTTTTCTATAGATGAACAAAACTGTATGGTTGAAACATCTAAGCTGGCCTATGGGTGATCAGCCAGTGAATCAGCGTCAGGTTGCGCGACTCTCCGCAGTCTTGAAGTTGGTGAAGACGACGCGCCCCAGTGGCATTCGCAGACCTTAGATGATTCGTCAAGATTCACTTCGATCATCAGTTCTATCTGGTGTCATTTGATTTTACATGTATGAGCATATCAAACATATCAGATCATATCAGTATATCATAGTATATAATTACTTGTAATATATCTATATATATATATACATATATATACATATCATCATCTATAAATATACATTATATTCTAGTATTCTCTATATATATATAATTATATATATAATTATATATGTATATAATTATATATATATACACATACATATATATATATATATCATTCTAGTGTCATCATCATCTCATCGAAATGATCATCCTTTGAGACCTGGGATCAAAGGTACACGCTGTCCGCGGACAAAGAGCTGCGGAAGTTTCTTCAACTGGAGGCTTCCAGGCAAAGCGGTGGAGGGGGAACCGGCCAATGACAAATCACGGGATGGGTGGGCTTCCAGATTTTGAGTTTGGAAATGTTTGGAACAATCCCGTAGTATTCGTAGTTTCTGTTTGATTTGAAACATGAATCGACTTACAAAATTTGCGCGCTCTTCGTGCAAACCGTGGAGAACGTCCAACGTGGTAGGCATCTGGGACGAGGAGTGTAGCACCCATCAACATCCATCAACACTATCCTATGGTTGGCAATTTGGCAGGGACTCAATGCCCCAGCTGTTTTTGTTTGTGGTTGTGGTTGTTGTTGATGCTGCTGTCGGTATTGTTCCACTCGGTTTTCAGGAATTTGGGGAGCGAAATCTACAAGAACTACGTGCAGTGGAGGAACACGGAGCAAGGCTGGGTAAATGAAATCCTGTGTCTACTGTCTTAAATTAGCACTGTACAGACTGTACATGTTTGGGATAACAAGTTCAGTATAGTTAAGTACCATATATGATCCCAATATTTACCAACCATAATACAGCTCCCTTTGAACAAACAGGCAGCATCACCTTCAGGCGATGGTCTTCAAAAGCCTCGGAAACGAATTGTGCGGAAGCTTGAAGGAAAGATCTCGGCCAGAAAGGATCATTTAGACCCCACAAAAAATAGGTGAAAAATGGGGAATACTGCCACAATTGAAATGTTGCGACTGTTTTGGCTTTCTTCCTTGGGAACAATATGGAACAAATGATGGTTAGAGATGTTCAACCAGTGTCCGTGGCATCACGCCTTGCATCGGCGGCAGACCCCTTTTTCGCAGATCAGCTGATGATTGCGCAGCATACGTTGCCAAGAACCTCGATGACCTGCGAAAGTTGTAGAGAAAGAAATAGGAGACCACAACAGAATTAAGTGCTTTAAATTATGAGAAACGAATTGATACACTCGTAGTTTGATGCAGACCAGCGGGTAAAGCAAATCCATTGCAATACAATAGAATTGCATATCTTACGCGTTGGAAAATAGCCAGAATACATGTATCCCTGTGAAAACGCAAAGCTATTTAAAACTACACGAGAAGATGCCCAGATCAAGAATTGTATGTTCAAATTTAGACCATGTATCAGTAATTGAACCACAGTGTATGAAGAGGAAGAATACGATGAACAAATATATATACACAATATATATATACAATATATATATATATATACATATAATATATATATATACAATATATATATATACAATATATATATATACAATATATATATACAATATATATATATATACAGTATATATATATACAATATATATATATATATACAATATATATATATTATAATATATATATATATATATATTATAATATATATAATATACTATATATATAATATATCACATATATATAATATGTTATAATTATAATATATATATATATATGTATATATATAATATATTTATACACATACAAACAAACGATACCAAAGATGTTGATTTTTGGAAATCTGAATTTGACACCAAGAGTGAAAGTTGCCGTAATGAAAACCTGTGGGATGATTTAAGCTGGAAAATGATGTATGGACGCAGAGATGAACCCAGCCACTGATGAAAATTGGCGTCAAATCATCCTTGGAAGCCCTCACGCAAAACATCAATGGTATCGAACACGTATTGAACATCAACCTAAAAATCATTACAACATACAAACGGCCCCATCTTCGCGTGAAAGTCATGCTGTGTTGTTCTACACCTGAACTAGTTTTTGCAAGTTCCAGCCATATTTGGCATAGAAATTGGAAGTACTTTTTTTTCATATTTTTTTCGGAAGTTGGGCTGCTTGGTGATTGTCCTGGATCAGTGACTGGAATTTCCGGTGTCCCAGTGGCAGCTTCACGGCTCGCCCCAAGGCCTCTGAACATACGATGGAAGAAATGAGCAAAAAGTGGGAGGCCCTAAAGGGCTCGGATCACCTTCTAGACCAGTCACACTGTACGATGACTCTGAATGTTTGTCACTGGGGCCCAGAGTAGCTTCACAGAAGTTGTAAGACTGAAATATCTGAAATAGAATTTGCCCACTAATTTGTACTAGACATATTAATGTGGTTAAAACAATAATAAACCACCCATGACTGGGAATGGTTTATTATTGTGTTACCCACATTATAACGTATTTAAGTGTGCCATCCCTGGACATCATCCCGAAAGGGGAAAAAAACACGCCTCTGCCAGGAGCTCATTTCAATTCACTACCCCGAGAGCACCCAACAGCAGCAACCTCAACATCAGTCAAGATCTCAGAGCTCGGCTTCTTCAGTCAGCGATGGCTGGATTTCATGGGATTTCCCAGCTTGAAAAATGTTGATGACACCAGGTTGGGTTTTTCTTCCCAGCTGGTCGTTGTGAAATTAACCATTCATCATATTAACCATTCATCATGAAGCATTATAATCCCATTATATAATCATCACAGTAATGAAGATGGTTATAATATGTTATAATCATGATTCACCATTGACCACTATATAATGATGATTAATGGGATTATAATGATTTACCATGGATGTGAGATGAAGATCTGTTGCAGACTATTAATCATTATAATATATTATAATTATTCACCATTGATAATGATTCACCATTAATCATTAATCACCAATCACTAACGGGATTATAATCATACCATTATTTATTAATTGGCTTATAATCATTAATCATAGTCACCATCATTAAACTTTTGTAATCCCATCAATCATACTTATCAAACATCATTATTCACCATTGATCACCATTCAGGTCGCTTATAAAGCATTAAGATGGTTATTCAACATGAGTGATTCTTGGTGATATAAATCATCATTATCAATCATGATATTAACCATCATTATTATTTGTTGACTCAAGATTCACGGTGCGGGGATCGAAATGAACGGGGCTCAACGCAAGAAACGCAAGGCCACGGACACCTGCTGGACTGGGTGTGGCCGTCTGGCACTGAGGAAGAGGACATTTCCCAAGGAGAACAGTGGAGACTGTGTCTTAATTCACAAGTGTATGAACATCTTTAGGGGATGAAAATTGATGAACATTGAACATGGATGAATATTGATACTTGTTTCCATTGAAACATGGAAAAATGATGAAGATTGCATAAGAATGATATGAATCATTTGATATGAATAGTGATCAGATTTCATAATATGAAAAATTGTGAAATTATGAAAATGCTAGATTTCCCCTTGTTTTTCCCTTTGGGTTTCGCTTTCCGTTTCCGGAAAGCGAGGCAATGACACCTGGCTTGGGAGCAGCGATGACACCCGGCCTGGGAGCAGCAATGACACCAGGCGAGCTGGGGGAATGGATTGGTGGGAAAATCTTAACCGGAAACCTGTAGGAGCTTAGTGTAGCGCGCTCTAGGTTTTGACCTAAATAGGGTTTACCTTAGTTTTGGGCTCAAGGTAGCCGGGGGCCATGGTTCGGGCCGCGCTAGGGGTCGTTTACCTCCTAGCGTCAGCCACGGCAAATGGATGGAACTTGTTGCAGCTTGGACTGCTGACTGGTACCAACTCCTCCGACGATCTTAGAAACCGAACAGAAGCAGGCCCAAGGGACCGAGGCGGGCCATCCCGCCCGGATCCTGGGCTTGGAGGTAACGGAACTTGGGACTGGTGGAGTGTTGCCTGGGATGGCGCCTACCATTACGTCGGAAACAGCTGGTGGATCAAAATGTGGGTACGGATGCTGTTACAGGTTGCGGAGAATGGGATAAGCTATTGTGGGACTCTTTGTGCCTCAATTGGCTTAGCCGCCCGATGGAGCTACTGGCTCCTTACCGGGATGGTCCTCGTCTTCTTGCTCCAGTTGCTTGTATGGACCTACACGTGGGTCATTCATCCGACTTGGATTCACTCCAGGGCTCTCTGGCGATACTGCCAAGGGACAGGCACTTGGAGCGATGTGACACGCTTGCAGGGGCAGAGGCCTTTCATACCCGTGTGGAAAGGGCCGGGTGCAGGGACACCATGGTCCGCCTTGTACATCCAGCGCGAGGTACGGGGAAGAGGACCGAATCAGAAGCCATTCGACCTCTTAGTTGCAGACGGAGTTGCTGTAGCGAGGCTTCGTCATGGGACTATAAGGGGAAGAACGAATCGGCACGGTTTCCTCTGCCAGTGTGAAGAAGTTCGAGCCTCGTCGCATCGATACCTCCGTCACCACATAGAGACTGCCAACTGCGCTGTCCACCTGTGCGCTCAAGACCCTTGCACCGCCCCAGAAGTTGCGCAGGTGCATATCAGGGCCAGCGCAACGGTCCCGCAGGACCGGGAGGTCAACCTGCAGGAACTAGCAGGAAGAGGGCCCTGGGGACGGTGCGCGGTGATCACAAGTTTTTGCGGGATACTTTGGTGCCGCTGTTTCGGCCGCAGCATGGCAAGATGCGGCCGAGCTTGGTGCTGGTGTCTGTGGTGCCGGTGTTGCCGTACGAGGCGAGTTTCTCGCCCGGAGCGCGGCGCAGGGTACCAGGGCCAAAAACACGAAGATTCTGAGACGGAATCCGAGGCGGAACTAGGCCCCACGGGGCTGCATTGTCAAGCGGACCAGGTCGCCCTAGACAACTACGGCAAGGTGGTTCCTCTTGCTGCTGGACCTTGCAGAGACGTGGCCCGAGGCTGTCCCGTTGTGCTTCTACAAGCTGACCGATCCAACAGCTGTCTTGATGGGTTACCAACCACTGAAGGCGGCGACCCATGCTTTCATGCCTGTGAGTACCACAGGTCCATGTACCAGGGCTCGCTCCTGGGTCGAGCATGTGCGGTGAAGGGGTGCTTGCAGCCAGTCACAGGGACCAGGAAGGGGGTCAACTTTTGCAAGTTGCACGGAGCCACAGAAGAGAAGCCCCGGGCCAAAACCGCACCTAGGGCATGCGAGGCTTCACCGCCCCAGGTGGATACCGGCCAAAGGTCAGAGACTGCGCGTCAACCAGAGAGACCAGAAGTCAACGCAATGCAGGGCGCGGTGGCCGACAGGGCAGACCTTGCTGAGCTCCTGGTCGAGCTGCTCCAGGGCAAAGAGGCAGAGGAAGCGTATCAGGCCCTCTCTGCCAGGAACCCGGGGGACGGCAAGTGGAAGCATCCTGGGTTCCAGGACTCGCTGACTTCCCTGGCGAAGGCCTATGTGCAACAACACAAAGACTTGGAAACCCGAGAATCACCCGCCTGGAGAGCGCTCAACCGCCTTGCGCATCCCCCTGCCGTATGTCAAGAACCCGCATACGACCCGGTAACTCGGATGCTGGAGGCCACGTTGGAGAGGCCCACAGAAGAAGAGAAATCCGACACGCCAGCCCCACGGCTGGGGAGGCCGGCCTCGGCTCCTGCGAGTCATTTCCCGGGTCCTCGCACTTCCGGTGAGCTCGCTGCGAGCTTGTTTCGCCCTAAGAGCGAGATCGATTCCGCCCTGCCGCGCCCGAGGCTTGTTTCGAGCCCGGGAGCGGTTGGAACTTTCCCAGGAATGTCCGGTCCAGCAGGTTTTGGAGGGATACAAGGTTTGCATGCCTTCCGACCCTTTCATGCTGGAGCATATACCGATCCGGGACCTCCGGCCCTCGATGAAACTTCAAAGGCTCTGCAGACAATCGCAAAAGTTATGGCGGCGAAGGAAGACCCAGCTGCCCAAGATCGAGGGAAGCTGTCCTCGATCGGCAGAACAGAAGAAAGGATGCTGTACCTGGCTAGAGGGTGCGACACGCTGACGGTGCACCTTGGGGAAGCCACGGTCGGAAAGGAGCTGTACCATGCCCTAAAGTCTGTAGCGACGCAGAACCGGCCCTTGTTGAGAGAAATCAGCTTCCCGGTGAACATTACCAACCGCATCGCCTTTGGGGCTGCCTCCCTCAGTTTCGGAGGCAAAGGTAATCCGCCTGACTATTGCCTCACGGTGGCCGATTTCGCCCAGACCTCGGAGGAGGAGTTTGACTTGTTTAGCCCGCCTGGGGATAACAAGTTGGAAAAACGGGCGCGGAATCCCACTACTCTGTCCAATTGGTACAGAAATGCTCTGCGCCAAGCTTGGGCCATGGCATGTATCCTGGGGGCAGAGTACTATGGCAGTTGGGAAAAAGCTGCGGCACAACTCCTTAAATTCGGGGAAGAATATGCCCATGCGTGGCCGTTGCATTCGGTCATGAGTGTGTGGGAGGAGCTTTGGGCCCGCTTCACGGAAGAGTTGAGGGCGCTCGATCGAAGGGCCAGGCGGGAAATGCAAGACGAGAGCCCTAGCTTTGACCGTCTTCGGTTTTTCGCCACATCCCCTGGAGAAAATGGCGAACCCTGGCTCCGGCTGCCTCAAACTTTTGACCTACAGGCGCCAGGAGAGTACTTCCAAACGGATATTGTTCCTCGCCAACAGCGCATGTTGGATCGTGCTTGCTGGTCAATGGCCCTCAAGAGACCGTCACCACTCACTGGCGGACGAGCTGGAGCTGAAGACATTGGCGGACCAGACAAAGCGCAACCTTCCGCTCCCAACCCTAGGAACCCACGGGCTGGAGGCAGAGGGAGTGCCCCTGGCGCTAACACTGCCGCCAAGGAACCCGCCCCCCTCCTGGGAAATGCTCTGACCAGCAAAGAGGCGGGCCGCTCCATGGATCACCGCCCGAAGGACAAAGACGGGAAGTATCTGTGTTGGGATTACTTTTCCCACCGCAAGTGCAACAAGGGAAAGGATTGCCCGCATTCGCACCACGGCAACGCACCACGCTGGGACACCCTCGATTGGAGCGTGCAGATGCAACTCTTGCGACGAGGCGGGCATCCCGCCCGTCCGAAACTCAAAGGGGACCAGGTGGACGCCACCATCGAATCCATCCGAAAGGAGCAAGCCCAGAAGCTCGAGTCCAACATTCAGGAAGGCAAAAGAGCGAAAGAGATGGCCAAGCGGACCGGGGGGCCCTCCTCCTCAGGATGCCTCGACCCAGTACCGGGAAGACACCCGAGCTGGCTGGACCCCAGCGCCCGCGGCGCTCGCCAATTTTGCCGCCACTGATATGGAAGACCCCCTTGCTCGACTTATGACAGGAGAAGCTGCTGCAAGTTGGACCCTCGACCACGCGCCCCCCGCTGTGCGCACGGTCACTTACCGGGAGTCACCCGATTCAGCCGAGATCCAAGCCAAGCGTCACTGCATGGACGAGATTGACAGCAGCGGCCTTCTCCCAGATCTACCCCAGCATCTGGGCACCTATCTGCGCAACCGGCTAACAGCCGTAAACGACCGGGCTCCAACCGCTCACGATGTTCAAGAATTCCTCGAGGACGCTATCCGAGAAGGCAGTGCCGAACTTGCTTCGGAAGCTACTGACTACCTCCATAATCACCCTGACACGCATGTCGGGTCGCGAGAGGGCCGCGGAGCATTGGGGCAATTCTCAGTACACGGCTTCGACGGGTACTCCTGGGCGACCTTTCGCTGGAGAGACGGTGACCATGCAGTCTATGACTACGGCGACCAGCTTGCGCCCGTGCATCCTGAGCTACAACCTCTGCAATGTCCCAAACCAGAAACGGAGCCCCGGCAGTGCTTCTACCTGCATGTGGCGGCTGGCCTTCTGGCCCATACCGCGAATCGTGTGCCCGCTCTCTCTGAGGTCCGCCTCAAAGCGGCAGCCTTACAGGAGGAAACTTTCCGCCTGGCTCTGGCTTGCGCGGAAAATTTGGGCCCGGAACCTGACATTTGCACTCAAGCTGAAGAAGACTTGCGCATCTTCGTGCACGACGCTCTCTTCTTCGGCCACGACAAGGATTACCGGTGTTTGGCAGCCTTTCCCCCGGCAGAGGCCGCGGAAGTCTCGTTCTGTCTCGTCCGCATGGACGCTTGGAACCGCATCTCTTGCGAAGTCATCCAGGGGGCCCACAGTCGTTCCGACCCGAAGTCTCTTATCTGGCTCCTGGTCCACCAGGGCCACATGCGGCTACTCCTCCCGGAAATCGCGACCTCTATCCCGGACAACGTGCGGATTGTCACTGCCGCTGGCTGGGAAGTCCACCTGGAAGCGGCCGCCGAGCACGGGGCGCGTCATCGCGCCCGTGCCCCAAAACCATGCCCGCGTTGCCAAGACGACCCCATGCGTCGTACCGGCGTCACCACCGGGGTGTTCGGTTTGTACCCTTTTCCAGCTGAGACGGCGGCTTTAGATTCCCGAGCAGGAGCATCTTGGTGGGAAGTCGACGAGCCCCCCTTCGAACAGTGGACCCGCGAGGACCTGCAGGAGCTCTTCCCTGGCCAACGGCTCCCTGAGCCCGGCCAACCGCTCCATTTTCTGGGTGTATACGTTGACGCCCTCGGT